TATTTTTGATGTTCAATAGATTTTGATATTTAAGAAATACTGGGTCCTGTTATTTTGTAATATTTAAGAGCAACTTTTCTTTAATATGACATTGTTAAAATATTATAAAAATAGGTTCTGTGAATACAGCTTTAAGAAGTCTAGGTATGTACCCCTATGTTTATCGCAGCACTATTTATAATAACCAAGAAATGGAAGCAACTTAAGTGTCCATCAGTAGATGAATGGATAAAGAAGATGTGGTACATATACACAATGGAATATTATTCAGCCATAAGAAGAAAACAAATGTGCTACCATTTGCAACAACATAGAGGAAGCTAGAGGGTATTATGCTCAGTGAAATAAGCCAGGTGGAGAAAGACAAATGCCAAGTGATTTCACTCATCTGTGGAGTATGAGAACAAAGGAAAAGCTGAGGGAACAAAACAGCAGCAGACTCACAGAACCCAAGAATGGACTAACAGTACCTAAGGGAAAGGGACTGGGGAGGATGGGTGGGAAGAGAGGGATAAGGGGTAAAAGGGGCATTACGATTAGCACACATAATGTAGCAGTGAGGGCACGCAGAAGGCAGTATAGCCCAGAGAAGACAAGTAGTGATTCTATAGCGTCTTACTACACTGATGGACAGTGACTGTAATGGGGTATGTGGTGGGAACTTGATAATGGGGAGAATCTAGTAACCACAATGCTGCTCATGTAATTGTATATTAATGATACCAAAATAAAAATAAATAAATAAATCTAGGTATGGGAAAGTGAAGTGACCAATATATAAATTATACTGTGATAACTCCATAAAATATTTCTTCCTCTATGAAAGGCTTTACTGTGGTTCTTTAAATATGAATTCCCTTACTACCCTTACTAACCACTTGAGAAAGTATAAAGGAAATTAAAGCTGTATAAATTGTGAGAATAGTCTATGGAAAAAAAGGAAACATGCCTATAGTTGCATTGATTTTTGGGAACAGTCCAGTATTTTCAGAAAGCACAATCTGATTTTCTTCACTTTGGAATATGAAACATTTTCACTGATTAAATTAGAAAAAAAATTGGATGTTAAGGATCATTAATAGCAGAGATTGTAACAAATAAAACAGCCCTTTTCAGTAACATGTATGTAACATCCTTTGATGGTTCTTATTTCTTCATTATAATAATCATGCAAAGAAGTGGCCCTTTAGCCAGATTACCTGAAGTAGAGAACTTGACTTTAATCCTTCTTGCCACTGCCTTAGCTTGGTTAGATCTATGCCTTTTTGCTCCCTGTAAAATTATTTATTTTACATCATTGTATTATTTTGTGAATGAAATGAAAATATATGTAATGTATTTTGAAAAGTTAACTTTAAATATATAACATTTGGAGTGTCTTATTGAAGTAAATACTTCCAAATTTTTGTGTTTTTAGCTCTACATTGATTTTGTCTGCAAAAATCTTGTTTATTATTTTCTTTGTTGAAAAAGAAGCATCTCAGGAGTAAATACTCATTTACTAGGGCCACCTTTAATCTCTCATCTCTTACTCAGAGCCTTGATTCTATTCTTAAATTAGTGTAATAAGCTGTGGTCTTCACCTAAAAAACTTGGGAGGTTTTGTTTTCATTTAAATAACTGGGGAACACACTGCTGATATTATTTAGTATAGTAACATCATTTAGGACCAACTGCTAATAATCATGGTAATATATAGCATATATTTATTTTCTTTCCTAACTTAATAGTTAAACATTTTTTTTAAATAAAGCAGTTCCAAGGGAAAAACATGGTTGCTATTTATTTAGTACTTTAAGTACAGCTCAAGGGCACATTTACATCATTATTGTGTCTTTGGTGATAAAAATAAATAAATTAACTGAAATATCATCAATGTAAACAGTCTAATAATTGAAGGCAAATTTGGCTAAAATTATTAGGTGATGGTCTTAGGCCAATCACTTGGCCTCTTTGTATCTCAGTTTCCCATCTCTAAAAATAAGAATAATAATTATCTTAACATTCATTCATTCATTCAACAAATATTTACTGAAATCATGTGCCCAGAGGGTGCTGGGCTAAAGGTATAAACAGAGTAAGTCCCTGCCAATCCACAGCTTACACTCTAGTAGGAAAGGTAGATAATTAATGTAAATACATAACTAAAATAATTCCACATACTTGGTAAATGCAATGAAGAAAATAAGTCAGAGTAATAGGATGGAAAGTGATTAGGGGGCAGAAGGAGGGGTGTGGCCACCCAATCACTTAAGTCTTCTTTGAGGAGGTAGCACATTTGAGTTTAGATCCAATTACAGAGGATTCAGACATGGATCCATCTAGAGAAGGGGTGTGTCCAGGGGGAAATTTCATGAAGCAGGAAGGAATATGGAACTTTTTATGGCCAGAAAAAGGCTTATGAGGCTGGAACCTAGTGGAAAAAAATGGAGAGTATTTTGAAATGTGGAGGATGTTAGGCTATTAGGAGAGGCAGGCAGGGTTCAGATCATGTAGGGCCTTGTAGGTATGTTAAAGAATTTGGATATTATTCTAATTGTATTAGAAGACAAACTGGGTCTCAAGAAGGAATTGATCCAGCATGTTTTGCATTTTAAAAAGATCCCTCTACAAATAAGTTACTAAAGCTAACAATATAGTTCTGTAGGTTCACAAAAATCAATTATGTTCTTACATACCAGTAATAGATAGTTTAAAAAGACAGCATTTATAAAAGCAACAACAATAAAAAAAAGATATAAACATTTTTGGGAGATTAAATTAGGCCTAAACTAATGAAGATAGTTGTGATTGGAAAGGCTTGATATCACAAAGATATCATTCTTTGCAAATGATGTAAGTTCAGTACAATTCCAATTAAAAAAATCTCAAGAGGATTTTTTTTTCTTTTGTAGAGCTTGACAATCTGACCCTAAAATTAAATGGAAGAACAAGGGGGCAAAATTAGCCAAGCCATTTTTACTTTGCCCTACCAGACATCAACACTTACAATATTAGGACAGTTCAGTATTGGGAAAGGAATAGACAAACAGACCAGTAGAAGAGAATGAAGAGCTCCAAAATAGACCTATATATACATGAAAAACTTGAGATCTTACAAAAGTGGCATTACAGTTCTTTTGGGAAGGATGAACAATTAAATAACTGCTGCCAAGACATTTGGTTATCCATGTAAAAAATCAATCCAAATAATTTAAAGACAAACCATAAAAGTCCATACTTTCTAGAGGAAAATATGGGAGATTATCTTTATAACCTCAGGGTAGGGAAGGATTTCTTGAGACATAAAAACATAAACCCTATTGGAAAATATATGTATACTTAATTACATACTATTAAACATTTCTGTATATGCAAGATATACTAAAGTGAAAAGACAAACTGTAAACTAGGAAAAGATATTTGCAAGCCAAAATACCAAGGCACGTTATTTTCCCAGAAAATAGTAAATAGCAAAAAGCTTATGAATCAATAAGAAAAAGATAACCACATGGAAAAAAAAGCAAAAGATAAATAGAGTTGAAATTCACAGAAAAGGAAAACTAAAGGTCAATAAACACAGGAAATAATGTTCGCTTTCACTAGTAATAGGAGAAATGCACACACACAAGAAAGGCAAATCTAAAAAGTATCCAAGTGTTAGGAGACAGTGGAGTAGCAGGCATGTTCATAAACTGCTGATTGTAGTATAAATTGTTACAATCATTTTGAAGAGCAATTTAAATGTTTAGCAATAATATTCAGTTTGAATATTGGATATTGAATATTGTCCAGGTGACAATGCAGTGGTTAGAGACTACCTACCCATCCCATCTCTTCCCACGTAACTTCTGACTTTATAGAAAGTTAACAGCTTACTGTTGACCAGAAGTCGTACCAATAACATAAAGAGCCTATTAATACATATTTTTGTATGTTATGTGTTAATATGCTGTATTCTCTTACAATAAAGTAAGCTAGAGAAAAGGAAGTGCTTTTCAAATTGTCACAAATCTCCAAAAAATTTTCCAATATATTTATTGAAAAAAAAATCCTACACAGTTCAAACCTGTATTGTTCAAGGGTCAACCTAAGATCCAGCCTTAGTGGAGCCAAGACCCCAAGCAATTTCTTCCTACCCACACTCAAAATTCTTTTCATTACAATCTGTAGCATCAACATTCAAATTGAGATATTATTAGTAAAATACTTTTTGTAATGTTTACTGACTGCTAAGAAGGAAACGTTATTAAATACACCAAAACATCTCACTTGGGAGCAATAGGTTTGGTTTGTTTGGCCATTCGGTAGTCACTCTGCAACCTGCACAGTGTTGCTTTCCAGATGAACATGTCAAGAACTGTTGGCTTTACAAGCCCTAGCACAGACTTGCTAAATAAGAAATGAATCTGATACAGTAACTGTGTAACACATTTTTCAATTTTGATTAATCTATAAAAAATAATCACGAGACCCAGCTTGATGTAGTTGTGGAATGTGGACCAAAAAAAAATTTTCATTTTTCCTGGACCTGTTACTTTGTGTGTCAGGGTCTCTCCTCTCCAAGTTATAAAAGGGAGGCTTAAAGTGGATGGCTCTCAAGAGTCCTTCCAGCTCTAACAGTAAATGGGATTTTAAAAAGGCAGGCAGACAGTTTTGCGTATAAGCTCTTTACACAAAGTGTTAATGTTCCCCATGAGAAAGGGGTCCTGCACCCAAGATGGGTCACTGGTCGATAGCGTCAAGGGCCTGGGACCTACTAGACCTGCCCCTTTTGAAGGCCAAGTCTGCAGTCCACCTTAGGGTGAAGTAGGGGCGGGGGTTGAGAATGTTACGGATTGCCAAAGGGCCGATAGGACTTCAAATACAAAGGCTCTTATCCTACATCAAGGAATGAAGGAAGGCGGGAACGCCCCGTCACAGCGGGTGCGAAAGGATCGGCTTAATCGCGGTGGGTTGTGCCAGCGTTGGGTGTGGGGCTTCGGCCCCGAGATGGTTGAAGGGCAGGGAGCGCGGCCCTTCCCGCCGCGTCCCGACCGCCTGAGTTAGGCTGTGATTAAGAAAGGGAAGGCCACTCTTGGACACCTTCTTGCGCTGGCGAGGCCACGTGACCGAAATCCGGGGCGGAGAGGGGCGTGTCCTGCTCCGTCCCGCGCGCATGCGTGCGCCTGCGGCGCTGAAATTCAAATTTGAACGACCGCCGGAGGCCGACTTTGACACTGGAGGCTGAAGGGAAGAAGCGGACAGAAGGTTGGGAGGATTCCCCCGCCCCGGGCTTCTCGTTTCTCCAAGCAACACAGTGAGCCGGGACTCACTTTTCTTTTCTTGAATTTGAACCGCCGTTTCCGTCGTCTCGCGGTCGACACGCGAAGCCCGAAACTATGGACCCGTTTACTGAGGTGAGGAAGCTTGCGGGCGCAGCCAGACTTGATGCCCCGGCCCCCAGCCAGCCTTCCCACCTTCAGTCGGCCTCGGACCCACCCGACGGCCGACGCGTGTGCGCGCGTGCGCAGAGTGCATGCGGGGCCGGGCCGGGGACGCGGGGGTCGGACGGGGGAAGCCAGGGGAGCCGGGGAAGCCGGGGAGGGGCTGTGGGTTCCTCCTGCGCTGCGGTTGCTCTTCGTCCAGTTCTCCTATGCTCGTCCTGCTGATGAAGCTCTGGGAGGAAAACTTTGAGACAGTCCTAAAAAGTCGATAGTGAAAAACCTCCTGTCAGCCCGGTTATTATAATGTCCCTGTGGCGTGGAGCCGTGTCCTTAAGGAGGGTGAGATTGGGCCTGACAGAACAGGTCCTGCTGAAGTAAAGCGGTTGTAACTTGTAGGGTGGAGTCGGGTGCCGGAGTGACTCAGTGCAGCTTGCGTAGCCACCGCCTGAAATGGAATGGAATGTGATTTGCGGGGTTCGTTAGGCCCGCAGAGGAGCTATGCATTTGACAACGCTTTTAACGAAATGACAGCAAAATGTGAAAATAAACCGGGGCCTGATACCACTGCATCTGTTCCCAAATGGTCAGCAGTTCCTTCAGATTCCATTGCTAAGCCAACTAGCTAAAAAGTTTCATACCCGGAATTGACACTTGAACTGAAATGAAACAATGCTAGCCGAATGTACAAATCAAAATTAATAGCTCACTATTGTAAAAAACCGGAGAAAATAACTTTTTGGACAGTGTTTATGGAGCAAAACATTACAGCAAGTAATACTTAATCTTTTGATATTTGGAAAGTGACAGTGGATTAATTATGTCATTATTGTGTCAATTATTTCTCTAGCTTTGGTTGCTTTGGTTTCTGTTTGAGAATATACGTTGACATACTTAGGAATTTTGTTTTGCCAACTGACTTTTCTTCCAGAACAGTTCCTCCTTCTTGAGGTTGTTGTGCAAGTTTCAAACTGTTAACTTTTTGAGTTGCTGCAAAGTGGGCCAAAAATGTGTCTACACTAGATTCGAACATTTAAGTGCTATGAAGAGTAGTAATATTTTAAATTTTTTATTAAAATATCCTTGATAAACAATCTTATGAAGGTTTCACATGAGCAATATTGTGGTTACTACCTTCACCCATATTATCAAGTCCTTCCTCACCCCATTGCAGTCACTGTCCATCAGCATAGTAAGATGCTATAGAGTCTCTACTTGTCTGTGAAATACTGCTTTCCCCTGCTCCCCCTACTCCCCCTACATTATGTGTGCTGATCATAATACTCCTTAATCCTCTTCTCCCTCCCTCCCTACCATCCCTTCCCACCCCCTTTCACTTTGGTAACTGCTAGTCCCTTCTTGGAGTCTGTGAGTCTGCTGCTGTTTTGTTCCTTCAGTTTTGCTTTGTTTTTATACTCCACAAATGAGTGAAATCATTTGGTATTTGTCTTTCTCTGGCTGGTTTATTTCACTGAGCATAGTACCCTCTAGCTCCATCCATGTTGTTGCAAATGGTAGCATTGGTTTTCTTCTTATGGCTGAGTAATATTCCATTGTGTATATGTGCCACATCTTCTTTATCCATTCATCTCTTGATGGGCACTTAGATTGCTTCCATGCCTTGGTTATTGTAAATAGTGCTGCGATAAACATAAGGGTACATATGTCATTTTGAATCTGTGATCTTGTTTTCTTCGGGTAAATTCCTAGGAGTGAAATTCCTGGATCAAATGGTATTTCTATTGTAATACTTTAATTTTTGAAGATGTAATTACAATTCCATTAAGTTAAGATAATAAAAGTATGAACAATTAGAGTTTACTTGTATTCAAACACTGTAGTATTTATTTTTGTTCCAAATTCTTAATCATCTTGGGGAAAACACATCAGTGTGTTAATCTTAAAGATACTAACAGAAAAATCCAGAACACATTTTTGTATTAGTTTTAAAGAGTAGGGCTGTATCTTGCTGCACTAATGGACAGTGACTACATTGGGATATGGGGGGAACCTGATAATATGGGTAAATGTAGTAACCACATTGCTTTTTCATGTGAAACCTTCATAAGAGTGTATATCAATCATATCTTAATAAAACATTTTTTAAAAAGTAGGGCTGTTCACTGTACCATATATATTTCACTTATGTTGAAGTTAAAAAGGATATGTTATTTTACTGACTTAGAATAGGATTCATTAAAACATTAGCCCTATATGTTCTGAATAATATTTTTAGTCTAAGTAACTGACAGGAACAAAGCATTCTGAAAGTTGGCTGAAAATTGTACTTCATTTTAATTAAAAATGTCATTCTGAAGCTAATACAAATCTTAGTGGAAAGAAACTTTTATTTGAAAGAAATCTGTCATTTTGGAGTGTGCTCAGATATATGTATGGTTTATATTATAAAAAGTTAAATCAGTTGCAGTTGGAATAAACTACTTTGACAGCTTTTCCTTAATTGGTCAGAGTGAACTATTTGAATTGTTTCCAAGGACTCGGTGCATAATTACAGCATTCATAACATTTTTGCACAGTGAAATGAACTGATACAATTTCTGCTTTGAAAAGGACTGAAAGTTGGAAAAATGACTTTCTCAACCAAAGTTCCTATCACAACTATACAACACAGAAAATTATTTGATAAACTACTTTCTCATATCTCCCAAAGGTACTTCATAACCATGTCATCCTACACGCATTGAAGAGTTGTTATTTCATTACATTAATATTGGGGTATTAGGGCTAATTCTGTTGGTAACTGGTTGAGAAAGGCTACCACCATCCTCAACTCTCTTGTCCAACAAGGCTGCCTTGCGTTAGTTCTCCCTGCTGTTGGTGGTGCTGTCCCGCACGCTCTTTCGCCGACTCTTCTGCCGGACAACTCACAGTTTGACTTCCCTTCTTCAGAGGGGGAGATAGCCTTTTACATTGCTCATCTCACTTGCAGTTACCTGTTGAACATATTTCCTGCCAGAATGTGAACTTCATGAAGGTCTGACTGTTCTTTCTTATTCAGAGAAATGTTTCCCTTACATCAAGCACATCTAATAATATTCTGCTGAATTAATATAGAGAGAGCCATTTAGTGCAAATTATTTTACAACAAATAATCAAAATGCAACAGTAACTATTAGAACATTTTAGCAATGTTGTTTTCTTTATTGCAGAAAATACCAAACTTTACATAATGACTCCACATGTGTCCATCACACAATAACACAGGGCCATATTGTTTCACAATATGCCCCTCTCATCCCTCCTATGGAATTATTTGGGAGCAAATTCTAGAGATCATATAATTTTATACATAAACACCTCAGTATTTCTCACTGAACACTAAGGACTTTATTTTTAAAATCCTAGTGCCATTAAAAATTAATAAATAATTCCTTAATATCAAATATTCTGTTGATGTTCAGATTTCTCTAAGTGTCTTGTGTTTTTAGAGTTTGTTGAATCATAATCTAGACAGGGTCCACCGGGCAATGTCTTTCTAATGTTCTTTATGGATGAACCAGAAGTAAAGAAGCCATCTTGATTGATGGATGAACAAGCAGATGTGTATTATTATGATCAGCTGATAGCATTAAAAAAGTTATGTTGATGATATGAAGTTACTCCCACTGATAATAAGTTCTTAAAAAGAGCAATTGGATTTAGTAAAAGACATTTATGTCAAAGCAGGTAAAAGCTCAGATTCTGGAACCTAGGTTTGAATCCCTGCCTTGCCACTTCTTAGCTGTGTTACCTGTGGCCTGCTATTTAACCTGTGCTGAGTTACTACATCTGTAAAATAGTGGTAGAAACAGAATGTACCAAATAAGAATTTGAGAATGAAATGAGTTAGTGTGTGCAGACATTGGATGTACTTCATATATTAATCCTACCTAAACATTGGTGGTGGTTGTACTTGTTAGGTGAATTTAAAACCATAAACTCAATATTCATACCATGGGCATTAGCCTCTAAAAGATCTGCTCATGGATGATGGTCATCCCAGTCCAAGGCTAGCATAGAGAAACCCAGAGCTAGGTGTGCCAATGGAACTTTTTAGTTAGAACCTTAAAAAGAAAAAAAGTTATAGTTGAAACACTTTTTGAAGCATCTTTTCTTGTGATATAAATAAAATGCTGTTACTATTTTGAAAGGGATTTCTCTTACTTTCCAGAATTAAATGAGAATCTCTGTATTTGGATAGAATGCTGTTAAAGCATATTGAAATAGCTAATTTATCTTATGTTTACTCTGTTTAAGAAGGCAAGGAACAACTCCTTGGAAAATTTCTGTCAGAAATGATACAAGGTATGTGTGGCAGAAATTGCTAAAGGAATATAAGCTTTGACTACCTTAGATTCATCTGGAATATCTTACTTCCTGATTATGTTATTACAGTGGTTTTTTGTTGTTGTTAATGCCTCTTATTTAAAGAAGGAGGTATGATATTTGAAGGAATGTACCTTGTAAATTAAAGAACCTTCAATTACTGATACACCATTATAAGAAAGAGTGACATTTATTCAGCTGCTGAGTTAATGTTCTTTAGCTGTATCATTTCTTTTAATTAATAGTTTTTGGTGCTTATTAGTTTTATTTCACAGGTCAGGAAACTTTTTTTTGCTTATTTGATTTTTTTAATCTTCAAATTTTTGAATCTAATTAGACAATAGAACACTTGTATATATTTGGCAAAACCACATTCTTTTGTGACCTGTTGCTCATAGTAACTTAAGATACACTGACTCACAAGTATTCCAACTGACCAGAATGGAATGTGGGCATGCCTATGAGTGAATATAGTTAGGCTTGTTTTGTATCTGGGAAGTAATATATTTTATCATGAAGGAGATTATCAGATATGTATGAATTTGTGTAACAATTTCACTTTTGAGTATGTTGAAGACTTTTATTTACAGGGTAAAGGTCTTATGTTTTGGAAAGCATTTGGTTCATAAATTGCTCACTCAGTGACACAGCATTTAGATCTACTGTAACTTCTTTCAGTGGGAAATCATTCCTAAAAAAAGTAGAGCTGTGTCTACTTCCAAATTTAGTTCAGGCTACTTCTGCTTCTTGTTGTTACTTCCACTGAAATAAGTTCTTAAAAAGAGCAATTGGATTTAGTAAAAGAGATGTTTATGTCAAAGCAGGTAAGAGCCCAGATTCTGGAACCTAGGTTTGAATCACTACCTTGTTCTTACTCACATCGCTGGTTGAGGAATTTTAAAATATTGTTATTTACTTTCATTAAGAAAATAAAAAGGTCAAATGGAGTTAAATTCCTTGAGCTGCTTGATTCATTAGTCTGTTTAATTCTTTATATCTGTGTTTGCAGAGCAGGTTATAAACTCCAGCCAATAATCTGTGTGCCTTCTTGTGTCTATTTGCAAGAGAAAGAATTGTTTTGCCCGGTGGACCCTGTCTAGATTATGATTCAACAAACTCTAAAAACACAAGACACTTAGAGAAATCTGAACATCAAGAGAATATTTGATATTAAGGAATTATTTATTAATTTTTAATGGCACTAGGATTTTAAAAACAGGGTGTTTTATGTGCTTTATTACACTGGTTTAAAAAGGAGCATCCAATGAGTTGGGTAATTTTATGGAATGACTAAGACATCAACTTAAAACCATTGTATTATATATTGATATTTAATTAAATAAAACATAAGCTTGTAGGACTAATACATCAGTTATCTCTTGATATTTACCATCACACCAAATTTTAGTGGCTGTATTAGTTTTACTGCTGTAACAAATTACCACAAATTTAGTGGCTTAAAATCACACGTATGTATGAGATTCTGTAGGTCAAAGTCTGATGGATTTTACTGGGTTGAGATCAAGGTGTGTGGTGTTGGCAGGATTGTGTTCCATCTGGGTGCTCTAGGGGAGAATCTGGTTCCTTGCGTTTTCCGGCTTCTAGAAGCCACCTGTATTTTTTGGCTTCTTCCATCATCAGAGCCACCATCACGTCATCCTGACCTCTGCTTCCATTCTCTCATTGTCATGTCTTCTCTGACCTTTCTACCTCCCTTTTCTCTCATGTGATTACATTGCTAACTAGATAAGCCAGGATAATCTCTCCATCTCAAGATTCTTACGTTAATCACATCAGCAAAGTCCCTCTTGCCATGTAAGGTATATAAGGTTACATATTCATGGGTTCAAAGGATTAGGATCTTAATATCTTTAGAGAACCATTATTCTGCCTATCATGGTGTTTAAAACAACCCCATTATTTCTCATGATTATTGGCTCAGCAGTTTGTGTTGGGTTCAGCTGGGCTGTGTTTCTGCTGGTGTCTCCTGGGGTCGTGCAGGAATATGCAGTGATCTAGCAAATTATTTGGGAGTGGCTGGTCTAAAATGTTCTTATTCACATGGCTGGTGGTTAATGCTGCTGTCAGCTGGGCCATGTGTCTCTAGCAGGCTTAGCCTGGGCTTCTTCACGTGGTGGCAGTGTTCCAGTTGATTGAGAACAGGAACTGTTAAAAGACCTCCTGAGGCAGTGGGATTCACACAGTATCGCTTCTGCCACAGTTTATTAGTCAAAGTAAATCATAAAACCAACCCAATCAAGGGTGTGGAAGCAAATTCTACCTTTTGATGAAAGCAGAGAAATTTTATGGCAATTTTAAATCTCATACTTTACACTAACTTTACTTCAAATAACTTTATGCATATTATTTTCCCTTTAATGTTTATATACATATATAATACTCTTGACATGGGGTGCTCATGGGTTGAGTCTCCACTTAATTACTCATTCACTTTTGAAATGTATTTGTTATCTTACATAGCAATTGGTGATTTTAGGAGATACCTGAAGTTTTGTGAACCTTTGACTAAACCTGTTTTTTAACGTTCTGATATACTGTATATGTAGAAACTGCTTGAACGAACCCGTGCCAGACGTGAGAATCTTCAGAGAAAAATCGCTGAGAGGCCCACAGCAGCAGCAAGGTCTGTGACTCACGCTAAGCGAGCCAGGGAGCCACTTTCAGAAGCAAGTAACCAGCAACCCCTGTCTGGTAGTGAAGGTAAAAGACTTTGTGGGGAAAAATAAAATTCCCATTTTTTAAAGGAGATAAGCCCCAAACATTTTATTGTGCATATTGGGAGACAAATGTAATTGCCTCTTGGGGAAGATAAGCTTTCTATTCTATTTCAGCCTATCAGGCCAGAGCAGAGTTTGTCATAAATATTTCAAATTAATTTGTTGAACTCTATTTTCTTCAATCCAAAGTTATCCTTAAAACCCTCAAGGGATGACAAGTAAAGAAGCAGGGGAATACTACTATGGCAGTGGTGTGGAGTTTACGCCGACAGTGGAAATACAGCCGACCATCATCAAGTTCAGACATGTTTCTGGCATGAGAAGGGCAGTGAAAGACAGACCTGCTGCAAATGCTTGAAATTTAAGGAGACTTTTCATCCTCTAGCTACTGAACCAACTCTAAGGCTAGGCTCAAAGAATAGATTGTTAATTTACAAAACATGAAATTAAAAAAAACAAATACATATAAAAACAAACCCAAACTCACCTGGAAACTTGTCTTATTCTCTCCTAAATCCTGGTATTCCCAGCCTGTGTCAGTTAACTGCCTTAGTCTTTTCCTAGAGTGTGGAATAGTCTGGAGATAATTTTCCACAGTAAAATTTAAAATATATATGGAAAAAGAATGTTCCAGAGGACAAACACTACAGAATTTTTGTACCAGTACTACAGAAGAGATGAGAGCATGAGACTGGCTCACAATTATTTTGTGAACTAACCACAGAATGGGAATTTTATGTATTTCTTGGTGTAAGTAAAATCATTTAAAGGAATAGAGAAGCATGATGTTTTATTGATTTGTTGAGTATGTACTGCAAGTTTTTCATGCTGTGAGAATTACAGAAATTTGAACTATTTTTGTTCCTTTTTAATCTAGACAAACCTTGCACAAAACCATCACCATCAAAAAAATGCTGTTCTGACATTGCTGAAGTAGAAGTTTCTAACTTGGAAAATGAAAAACCAGTCGAGTCAAGGTCTGCAAATCATTGCTCTCCAAGTCCTGTGACTCCTCAGGTACACCAACAAGCACCAGCTCCTGTCAGTGATCCTGTGGCTGACCAGGCACCACTGCTGGATGTGAGGAGAGGGCTGAACTCAAGACTGGAAGCAACTGCAGCCTCCTCAGTCAAAACGAGAATGCAAAAACTAGCAGAAAAGCGGCGCTGTTGGGATAACAATGATATTATGACAGGTATAAACTATATGGATGGTAGGGTCCTTAAATATGTTTCAGTAAGATTCAACTCGTTATGTTGAAAATTTTACGTGCCAGTTAATGCCTGAAAGGCAAATGCTTCTGTTTTATCCACACCCTGAATATCTGTCACTTGCAAATGATTTGTGTACCAATAGTATATTTATTAGTTAGTAGTTGTTCTTACTGAAGTAGAGGATGATGAGTTTCTTAGACTAGTTGACAAAAAAAGCCTGGCCTTGTGAGGAATTATCGTACATTTGCAATAAAAAATGATAGAGAACAAACTCTACTCTTGGTATTATTAGCATTGCTGACCTTCATCTCTATATTCCAGAAATCCTATTTCATGGATTCACTAATTAAACTTCAGTGACTAAGGTATGAGGTATGCAATTCTGTTCAGTAGGGGTGAGAGAAAACTTCAAGAACCATTTATTGAGCACCTGTTATACATATTATGCTACTGTGCTAGAAACCAGTCTTTGCCTGAGAGCGGATCAGTAATCATGCAGCAGTGTTATTTATTTTTGTGAGAAATTTTGTGTATTGCCTACCTTGTTACAAAAAAACTTTGAAGTAACTTACAAAAATACCTATATTACAAAACAAGAAAAATAAGGAAATCAGAGTGAAGAGAAGGAAAAACAAAGACATGGAAAGTAAAGTTAGTTTATTAAATACAGACCTTAAGGTCCTCCTCACTTGCTGGAGAGGTTTCTGAACTTGCTAGCAGCCAAAGAGCTAAAGCACTACCAGTTACACATTTAATGTTTATAAGATAAAAGCAGAACCATGGTTGGCACTAAGATGAGAGAAATTTCTTCCTTGGGTCCCCGAAGATGACTTTGTGGGAGTCATCTAGTAAAAGTATACGGTTTCTAAAGGTAGGCAGATGGACTGGCTCCAAGCTTAGTAGAAGCAGTTCTAACGCGAGGCAGCACAGTACAGGCGGACAGCTTGGTGGCACCTGGGCCCTACCCAAGGGAATGTTCCTCAAACTGTGATTTTCAGCCTGGCTCCTATGTATTGAGTCATTTGGCCCATTGGGTTGGAATCTCAGGAGTGCAGTAGAGCCCTGGGGTGGGCTTTGTCCTTTTTTTTTAAAGCTCTGGAGGTGATTCTGATGCATAGCCGGAACTGAGACCAAGTAATCTGAAGAAATGGATGGACTACATATTTTTCAGGCAGTCTTCCATAAACATCAATTTTTCAACTGAAATTTTGATAAGTATTAGACAGGAAAATGTTTAAGATTATCCTGTCTAGCAGTGATGATCATCTTAAGAGCAAACTTACTGTGTAAAGTACTAGACAGTCTAAATACTTTTTTTCCAGTATAGTAGAGCATGTAGTTCTCACAGCCATCTTACAACGTACATAGCACTTTTATGCTATAGAAGAGGAAACTGGGTTCAGAGAGGCTAAGAAACCTGCCCACAGTCAACAGCAAAAATTCAGACCCCAGTAGTTTGACCCTAGTAATCAATTCTTGCCTGCTGTGACCTAATATTTTTGGGTTTGTAACATTTTTGGGTGCAGATACTCCATGTTGTTAATTATACCTATTTATTTTAGTAGTGTGTGGGGCTAACCATGCTTTAATAATGCTTGAGATAGTTAGTAACCAGTAAAAATTTTGTTTCTGTTTTGTAGGAAATATCTATGGGCAGCAGTGTACAGATTTTCTTTTTTTTTTTTTTTAAAGAGAGTTGTGATTTAATGCATGGTCAAAAGAACAACCAAGGCCCTAAACATTATAGAGCAGAAAACATTGCAGGAGTGATTTTGAACATTATGAAAGCAAATGCTAACAAATACCTATCTCAGCCTTGAAAAATCTCACTAATCTCATAGCCTGTCTAATTTTAAACATTGAAACTTGGGAATAAAGTGGGTATAATGAATGATTTAGTAAATGCTATCCAGGACTGTGGGTATAAACAGTTATATGTTTAAGGGGTTATATTGAAATATAATTTATCCAAAGTCTTTGTTTTTCTGACTGAGAATAGTTAGAAGAGCTAGAGGCCTATTAAGCGCATTCCTAAAACATGTGATTAAAACTGTCATCTGCTTAGAGGACAGTGCTTATTCTCAGGAGAATGATAGAAGTAGGAAAAAAGGTATTCTAGGGAAAGTGGTAGTCAGGGAAGCTTTTCTGGAGGAGGCAGAGGCAATTAACTGGACTTTGAGGGGCCCCTGGCCTTAGACTGTGGAGATATTCTGGCAGAAGCAACAAAATGTATAAAAGTCACATAATGGGTGTATAAAGAGTAGCTATTTCTGGTACAATTCATGTGGTAGAAAAGCAAGGGAGAAATTTGGAGAAAGCAGTGGGGTCCAGAGCATTTGGAATTTAACCTGGAGGTGATGGGAAGGTACTGTGAGAGTTTAAATATTCAAGTGTTTGAGAAAGATCACTCTGGCATCAGGATTGAGGAGGGATTGAATAGGGTAGAGATTTGAAGCAGAAAGACCAGCTAGAAGGCTAATGCTTTAATAATGCTTGAGATAGTTAGTAACCAGTAGAAATTTTGTTTCTGTTTTGTAGGAAGTATCTATGGGCATAATCCACGTGCATAATGATAAAGGCCTGTGGAAGTGAAGGGGAGAGGCTTTATCTGAGAGATTTAGGATGAAGAATATGTAGGGCTTGATGACTGGATGGTGAAGGATTAGGGAGAAGAGAGGAAGAGGCCATGATGAGGAGAGACATATTGGGGCAATTTTCACTGCAGATGTGTTATTTGGGTGCCTGTGGGATAGCCTAGTGGAGGTAGCTGGTAGTTATAAGGAGGTCATGAAGATAGAACTAGTAGAGGATGGTGTCACAGATGGAAATACAAGTTCTGCAAGGTGTACTGGCATCTAGTGATAACAGCAGAAGCAACATAGAGTGGTGGTGTAGGCAGAAGGTGGGTTGAAACGAGTTGAGTGGTGAGTGAATATTGTTCAGGGCAAGAGGGACAGTAGCTAATAGGGGGTGTATATTGATGGGACAAATTTGCTTATAATTTTAAGGGACTTGGGGCATATTTATGCACAGAGGAAAAAAAGTATGTAGAGAGGAAGAAAGGGTTATTTGGAGCAAGATCCCTGAGAAAGTTTTGGAAGATTAGAATTGAGAATTCTGGCAGGAATATAAACCTTTGATTATAGGAGGAATACTTCTTCCATTGACTGAGTTTGAGGAATACAAAATGCAATAAGTTTGACTTCTTTGTATACACTTTATTCACACTATTTATAGGCCTTCACAAGTTAAGTATTACTGTTTTGAGATCTCCAAATGAATTAACTGCAGAAAAACATTTAGCTTAACTTTGTGCCATCCAGTATTGTAGCCACCAGCCATATTTAGCCTTTACATTTTAAATTAATTAAAGTGAAAGGAAGTTTCTTAGTTGCCCTAACCACATTTCAGATGCTCGCTAGTCAGGTGTGTCTAGTGGTTACTATATATTTGATATCTATTCTGGATATAGAACATCTCGGTTGTGGCAAAGTTCTGTTGTACAGCACTGCTCAAGTCCCTTTTTCTTTTAAAGCATCTCAGTTGCCTACAAAACATCACTAGGACATCTTACCGATAATTAAAAAAAATTTTTTATCAAATATACATCACAGTGGTTCAATAGTCCACTCCTTTCCCCCTTGATAACCACTAATCACTTCTCAGTGCCTATGTGTCTAATGCTGTTTTGTTCCTTCTGTTTTGCTTTGTTTTTATATTCCAAAAATAAGTGAAATCATATGGTATTTGTCTTTCTCCACCTTGGTCAAGTCCGTTTTTAAAACAAAAAATAATCTTAAAGTATACAATGTTATAAGGCTAGGAACTAATTCTAAAAATATAACTGAAATGAATGATATTGTATAGCATTCATAATCCATCAAAAATTTGAAAAAAGGTATAACAAAGCATTTTTTTTTACTTGGATTAAATATCATCTAATTTGGAGAGATATTGTCAAATTTTAGCAGCTTGGTAGAGTCATGCTTATGAGAGCTTTTTACTAGTTCTTAAATCTGTTAACCTCATTTTAAAATTCTGAATTGGAGTGATCTGGTATTGCACATATATATAATTCTTGAACATGGGTTTAAACTTTTTCTAAAACTATTTTCAGATGATATACCCGAAAGCTCACTTAGCTCACCAGTGCCATCAGAGGAAAGGGCTGCCTCCCCTCCCAAACCACCTCTTTCAGATGCCTCAGCAACTCCAGTAGGGAGAAGGGGCCGTCTGGCCAACCTTGCTGCAACTATCAGCTCCTGGGAAGATGACGTAAATTACTCATCTACAAAGCAGAATAGTGCACAAGAGCAGCCTGGTACCACTTGTTTATCCAAATTTTCCTCTGCAAGTGAAGCATCTGCTAGGATCAATAGCAGCAGTGTTAAGCAGGAAACTACATGCTGTTCCCAAAGGGATGGCGATGCCTCTTTGAATAAAGCTCCATCCTCAAGTGCTGTGGGTGCATCTTTCAATAATACTGCAATTTCCAGCTCTGTGGTAAGTAAATAAAATATTGCTCTTTGGGAACCTTTTTTCAATATGATTGATAATGTGCATATATTAGGTATGTATTTTATAACATACACATAGTATGCTTACATGTATTTTTAGAGTATTGGTTTCATAGATAGTAAAAATAATAAATTTGGTACTCTATATCAAGCTAAATTAACAGTTGATAACTAAGTTACACTAATTTAATACAATTTCAAAATATATAATGATGAAATGATGGAGCCTCTTAGTCATCAGGGAGAGCCCAGAAAATAATTTCCTCCATTAGAAATGCTTTATGTATGTGTATAAATATAAGATATCAGAGGTCTCTGAAAAGATATAAAAAAAGAAGTAAAGTAGTAGCTAAAGTTACCTTCAGAAGACAAATTGCTGAACAGGTTTGTTAAGGGTGGGTATGTTACTTTCACTGTATATTGTTTTGACATGTTTGAAAGTTTCACATTGCACAGTAATTATCTCAATAGTTTTAAAAACAACCTTAAAAAAATAACAACCAAAAATCATGCTATATTCCTGAGGCTTGTCTTTAGGTGTACAGTCAGGTTTGAGATTTAGACCTGTATTCAGTAGTTAGAAGTGTGGCTTTGGACAAATTACTTAATCTTGCAAAGCCTTATTTTTCCATCTGTAAAATGGGAAAGAAAGGGTTATTGGGAGGATTATATGAGATAGTGTGTATAAAGAACATAGCATATTGTTTGGCACATAGCACTTAATAATTTAATTAGCCATCAATTACATTGATATGATTTTGTTACATTAGCATTGACTTAATTAAAATACAAAAAAAATGTAATTTTGTCTAATGCAGTTAAAAATTAATAAAAGTACTAGTGAGATAATATGAAATTGTTTTCCAAAATAGGCAGGAACCCTATCCCTTACATGAAATTACCCATTGATGTGTTATGCAGATTAAACTACACGTTGCAATTTAAATAATAGGATTTTCTAGGTTGATTTTTATTAAACCTTTCAAGTTGGTTTGATCTATTGGAGAGCAAGAATATTTTTTTAGTAAGTTTACATAAAGGTTATCAAGCAAGTAGGGTTTGAGTTACTTTGTTGTGGGACTACATTTAGGTATTATGAATTTTATTTACCTTAAGTGTTATCATGTTTCAGAAAACTACTTCTTCCCCAGTAAAATCTACTACATCCATCCCTGATGCTAAAAATTGTGAGGTACAAAATCTTGAGCTACTTCAAAAAACTGTTAGTCTTCTGAAAACAGAGGTTTTGAAACCAATTGGGAAGTCATCTGTATCCCAGACAGTTCAGCCTAAAGAAGAATTAAATAGAGAAATTTGTCTGCACTCTCAATCTAAAGACAAATCTACAATACCAGGTAATGTATTTTTTTACAAAATCTGAAATTATTCTATTTTCAGGGTGTCTGTTCTCAGCATTTTAAATATCCAGTTGTGAAAAAAATGGTTCAGTGCTGGTTTGCCTGGACAAATGGCAGAATGTTTCAACTGAGACTTCTTCAAATTCAGCTTTAATTTACTGAATGAATATTCATTAGTATAGAGTAGGCCAGTAACTGACAAAGTATTTACCCTGTTATATTTTTAACAATATAAACATTTTTTTCTAGAATGACTATTTTAGATACTTTCTTCTCTATTTTTTGATGCAAATAAAGCATATACAACTAGAAATCAGGGAAATTTTAAGAGCATAATGGAGAAACATTCTTGTAACTGAGTGTGCAGAGCAGTGCTTCTCAAACTTCTCTATGAAGGCATCCCCTTAGAGCAAAGGAAAGTGAATATGTATACAGAGCACTCTGCTTCTAGTTATTTCATATGTGTGTGTATTGTCTGTGAACGTCTACATATGAAAGTTCAAAATTACTATAGTAAACTGATGCTCCATAAATCCATATTTATTTTATCTAAGATAATTTTTATCTTCTTGCATAGTCCCACATGCTGTTGATTGAGAAACATAGGACTAAAATATATGGTTCAAATATTTGGTAATATAGTTAATTATATTCTTTTCATTGTAATTGATTTTGGAAAGACTGTTTCAATTTTAAATTTTAAGTTCTTGAAAGTACAATCTCTCTGGAAACTATTGTTCATCATAAGAAATAAGTAGAGAGATGAGAGTGGGGAATCCTTTAGTTATGGAGCAAGTAGAAACCAGCAGTCAGTTGCTAGATGAACCAAAATGGCAACTGGAAACAATAGCAAAATCCCCACACAAAATAGTCCAATTACTCCCAATTTTCTAAATATTTAATGGCATAGATAAGGAACATTCTTTCTATTATCCCTGGCTACTGGATATACCCAGAATGCATTACTGGGTCCTCAGAGATATTTAATTTACATGGTTTTTTTGTATTCCTAATAGACTCTGGTTTGAGATATGGAATTAAGTAGTTATAAGTGACATGTGATGTCTTTGAACTATGGTCATGGATTCAATTTTTTCCTTCACCTGTTTTTACAAATAAAGTTTTATTGGAGCACAGCCATGCCCACTTATTTACATATTCTCTGTGGCTGCTTTCATGCTTCAGTGCAATATTGAATAGTTGCTGCAGCAGCCACATGGCGTGCAAAGTCCAAAATATTTACTATCTGGCCTTTTATGGGAAAATGTTTGCTAATTATCAGTATAGATGAACTTCCTTTTATATAGTACAACCCTAACATTTTCATGATGGAAGCAATATATATCCCATTCATTCTGCTTCAAATATACCTCATACTGTTTCAAATAATATGTTTTAAAACTTTGTAAAATGAAGATATCCTTTGATCAAATAAATAATCCCTAATTTTCCTTTTGAGAGAAAAAGGATTTAATCTCTGGATTTTCATGTTTGACTTTCTAAAAGTAAAAATGAATTGTGCTATAGAAATATAAGTAGATGTATAGGTTATCATGGCCAGGAACTTGGTAGGTAGGGTATATTAATAAATAATACAGTCAATTTCCACTCATTTAGGTTCTGACTATTTAGTTTAAAGGTTTTTTAATTCCCATTGTCCTCTCACTCTACCTTTTAAAAATTCTTCATTTTTTTTTAAGAACTAAATCCTATAAATAAATTTTAGGACAGAATTAAATAGAATAGTATGGTAAAAAAAAAAATTTATTTTAAATTATTTTCATATTGTTTACTTCCTGAATGAATATTCCTCGTAGAATTAAAGCATTTTGGAGATGTACGAGATTTAAGAATTTTTTCTATAGAAATCATAATTGTTATTTGTTCTGAATAGCCTCCAAAAAAGGTGTGTGTTTTCTGTAGGGGGAGCAGGAATTAAGCCTTTCCTGGAACGCTTTGGAGAGCGTTGTCAAGAACACAGCAAAGAAAGCCCAGCTCGTAGCACACCCCATAGAACCCCCGTTATCACTCCAAATACAAAAGCCATTCAAGAAAGATTATTCAAGCAAAATACATCTTCATCTACTACCCATTTAGCACAACAGCTCAAGCAGGTATGGCTTATGACTTTTTACATTATTCATTACATGAAACTAGAAATTAAATTGTGAATTCTGATATCAGACTTTTTGACTGAGATAAATAGGATCTTGAGTCACTGTATCACTTATTTCAAATTAGAAATATTGAAGTTTAGTATTCCATGTGTATCTTTAATTTTTTTATCTTGAAACTGAAGACAAGCAAAGTTTAGTACTGTTTGGATATTATTCTTAAACATACTATTGGCTCTTGTGTAAAATAGAGCTTTTGATTGTTTTAGGAACGTGAAAAAGAACTAGCATGTCTTCGTGGCCGATTTGACAAGGGCAATTTATGGAGTGCTGGAAAAGGCGAAAACTCAAGAAGCAAACAACTAGAAAGCAAACAGGTAATATAAACAAATGTAAAAGTGAACTTCATACCAAAGTAATGTTGGCATCTAAGTTGTAGTTCTGTATTGTAAAATAATCCTTTATATACCTTCCTGTTCCAATTAACTATATCCCTTTCCATTCATAAACTCCTCAGATATTCATACCTCTGCTTTTCTCTTGTGATATTTTTCCATTTAGCGGAACTCTTTACCATATTTACTGATGACATACTTAAAATCGAATTTTAAATAATTACTCTTATCATTTGATTGATTTCAGATTCTACACAGATGCTAGTTCTAAATGTTTTTCAGAATCTACTTTTCTCATTAATGATTGTATACCTCTCCCCAAATGCCATACTTGACTATTCATAATCCTTTTTAGTTACCAAATATCTCCTACATTTCTCTTTATTCCTATATTACCTCTTGTCAAATTTCATTAATAAGCCTTTAACAAAATCCCTACTTGTGAATGTAAACTGTATGTTTCGTTTCAGTTACATGCCTACTGTGTATAAAATACTGTGTTAAGAGATACTTTTAAGCTAAAAATAATATAATTATATTTAAAGTGGATACCAGTAGAAACAGAACAACACATTTATCCAGTATTCTTTGAGAAAGACCTATTTGATTTTTTTTTTATCATTTCTCTTGTTTAACAAATCATGTTGCCCAGCGTTCTGATCTCAACCCTTTTTTCTCTCACTTGCCCTGGGATCTCTCTTTCCTGTTCTCATATCTAGCTTCAGCTGTGCACAGAAATGTTAAGATGCTCAGCTATGCTGTGCTCACCTCTCTCCTGAACTGTAGGCCTGGTTGGCTAGTAGGGCTCTCTGTGCTGTCGTATATTCCTAATGTAGTCCCTGTCTTGTCTTGGAGTCTTACTCTATACCCTGTCATCTGACAATATCTGGGAGCCCTTCCTTGGCTTTTCCTTTTATTGCTCTGTCTTCGCACCTCCTGCCCCTAGTGCACATGTACGTAAACACACACAGCCACTGATACATTTTCTAAATATGTCACCAAGCTTCCTCATCTTCTTCATTTTCCTCTACCATTATTTTTTGTATTTCTTCTTCTTTGAAAGAAAGGGCTTGTTCTTGATAGAAACAGTTAGAGCAGAGTGGTGGTGGTGGAATGGCAATAGTCATGGGGGAAGAGCAGTGCCAATGAATGTAGGCATTCCTCAGAAGTTTGGTTCTTAAAGGGTAGGGAGAAAGGAGGTAGGTGGTTGCTGGAAAGGGATGAGGAAGTGAAGTATGGCTTGTATTTGTGGTTTTTTTTGGTTTGGTTTGGTTTATTTTTGAGGAGACTTAGGTCAGTTTTAGTATTGAAAGTAAGAGGTTGACTGTAGAGGATAAAGAGGTGATGATTGATGGGATGGGGTAAATCTTTGAGGAGGTAAGAGTCAGTGAACTCCAGAGCTCAGTGAGAGGAAAGTAGGACAGTTTCCTGGTGTGATAAAAAAGAAGGAAGTGTTGGGTAGTTTTAGAGCTATGGTGACAGAAAACAGGTAGACTTCCTGTTTGACTGTTTCTGTTTTGTTCATTCTTAGGGAAAGAGAGGTGACAGGTTTAATGCTCTCTGGAGGATGGCAGAGAGAGCTCAGTTGGAAAGAGAAGGACTAAAGGGTAGTTTTAAGATTCAGGTGGGGTATAAGATAATACATTTAAAGTAAAACCAAGCTTGCAGTTAGGGTTTTTTTCTCTAGATATGTCCAAAGGGCCCGGTTGTACACATGGAGAAGTTGGGTTGTTCCAGTGTTGGGGTTTTGCCAGACAGGAGGAATGGAAATACAGTTGAAGTGAGGGAATTGAAGATACTGGTATGGTAAGCTAGTGATTGAAATGGAGGGTCATGATGTCTAACTTGGATGGAGATGTGAGAAAATAGGTAGGAGCAACAGGAAGAAAAGCATCAAATGACCAGAGGTCTGTGTGAGGTGAGAGAACAGGGTCTGCTATGGTCTGGTCAGGTAAGAAAGCTAGAGATTGGAGGTGTTGTTAAAGTGAAATATTTGAATATAGGATTTCAGGTGATAGCTGAATTGGAGTGGTGGGGAAGATCTTTGGAGTTGAAGTGTTTCGGCAACCGAGGGGCCAAGATGTTGTCTGGGAAGTACTTGTGGCTGCTGATATCACCCAGATGGTGTCTAGTGAGATGTGAGATGTGAGATGGGGAATGGAGTATGACTGGATGGCATGAGCCTCAAAGGAGCAGGAGCTTTTAGAAGAGGACTTCTAAGAGCATGGAAGTATTTTTAGAGACTGGAGAGGAGGCTGTCCCTCATGTTGTAAGGGTTTAGAGGAGTGAACCACTTTTCTTACATAGGGTAGTAGGTTAAGTCTCTCTTCACAAGAGAACCAGCCTTCTATTCGGGCAAGAATATTTGATGAGGAGAATAAGGATATAGGAAAGTTTGTTTATCAGGGAAGGGGATTGGACACATTAAAGGGTTTTTGGAGAACATGAGGCAGAGGAGTTTGACTTAGGGGAGAGGAAGCACAGAACAGCATGCAGATGGGAGACTAAGGGAGAAGACAGAAATAGTGAAGTTATTACAATAGTTAATATTTATTGAATGTGTATAATATGCCAGGCCTCTCTGGTGGGTAATTTTAAGTATGCATTGTATCATTTAATCCTCCCAATAACACGGAAAGTTAAGTAATAATGTAATTCCCCTTTTTCTGGGTGAAGGACTAAGACTTCAAGAGGTAAGTCACTTGTCCAAGAATGACATAGCTGGTAAGTGGTGAAACCAAGGATTCTAACCAGACCTCCTGGCTCCAGAACCTTCTCCTTTAACTGCTGTATTTGTTCTTGGGCTATGATCCAAAGTAAAAGGATGGGGTTCTTAGTGAGTTCATTTGGCATTCTGTTTTCAAAGTTATGAGTTAAGCCTTTCAGAATGAATGTAGTTGCTTTCCATTCCCACTATAGTCATTCTTTCATTTACTCAACAAATATTTGAGCGCCTACTGTATACAAAGCACAAAAGCTTTTTACTTTCAAGATACATTCAGTCCCTTCTTCTCACTTCTGAAGTGCACTTTCCCTGCCTTGTTTCTCTCCTTAGATTTCTTGCCTACCCTTAAAATAGTCTGCAGCACAACATTTGATAGTTTGTACATCAAAAGCTTCTTCTAACTTGAGAGATAATTTAATCTAGAGTAAGAATAGTTGGGTTTGTAAATTGGCCCTGCCAGTTATTAGCTGTGTGTACAAGTTACTTAACTCCTCTGTGTCTGTTTTCTTGTCTATAAAATGTAAATAATAATGCCTAACTTAATATAGTTTTGGGGAGCATTATGTGCTACAGTAATGTAAAGTGCTTAGAAAGGTGACAGGCACATACTGAGCTCTGTTAAATATTAGCTGCTGTTATTCTTATTTGATTATTTCTACTATTGCTTTAATCGTAGTCATTTCAAAAACAATAAACGTTTCTCTTCCATAGCCTTATAAATGGTTTAAGAAGACTCAGATGAGGGAATTTTTTTCCTTCTCTCTTCTTTGTTCTGGATCTATTTTGTCTTTCTTTGTTTCTTTGCATTTTACCTTCTGTGTAACTGTTAAGTGGAATCCTGATGTAGGAACTGTCACTAGATTTTATAGGTATAGGATGAAATAACATGGGGGAATTGTTTTTCCCATGTGTGGCTTTCACTTAAATTAGTTAATCTAAAACTATACTCTGCTGAAAATTTCCATTCTCTGTTATTGCTTCCTAGTCTCTAAAAAAAAATATTTTTTTTGGAGGAATGTTATATAGAATAAGGAATCTTGCTTGTTTCATTTAATAACATGTAAAAAAGAGAAAATCCATAGTTTTGAGAGAGAAAATTTATCTCTTCATTTGCTTTTTGCAGGAAATTCATTGTCAGAACACTCCCCTCCAAAAAATTGTCTCAAATACTCCATCACTTCCAGTAACAGAAAAGGTGACAGAAAATCAGACACCCGCAAAGCCTTCCAGTACAGAACCTACAGGTCAGCATTTTCTATTTCCACCTCACTTAAAATGTGGCTTTCATTCTACCATAGTTTCGGAAATTGTATTGGAAATAAATGCTGCTCTTCAGTAAAAAGATAGATTAATTTGTTCATTTCCTCTCACTTTTTCATTTCTAGCCATGCAATATGCTTCTTTCCAGAGTGAGAATTTACACTCTGGGAGAGAATATAAATTACTGTAAGTTTTCTTGGAGAAAAATTCAGTAATATTTGTTGAATTTTAAATTGTGCATGCTCTTTAATTCATCTTCTCTGCAAGTGTTTCTGTAAGTTGAATTCTTAAAACTAGTGTGCAAAGATATATGGACAAAGATTAATTATAGCACTATGTGTAATAGTAATAACATTTAAATGGCCTAAATACCATGTGTAGACTTTAAATTGTGCTAAATCCATTTAATCAAATATTATATAGCTGCTTAAAATAATAAGATAGCTTTGTATGTAATGACATTTAGTATATCATAGATATTTGAGTTTTTTTTTTAATTGTGGTGAAAAACACATTAATAAAATTTACCATCTTAACAATTTTGAGTGCACAGTTCGGTAGTGTTGAATATATTCACATTGTTATGGAACAGATTTCCAGAACTTTTTGATCTTCCAAAAACTCCAAACAGCTCCTCTTTCCTCAGCCCTTGGTAGTCACCATTCTATTTTCTGTTTTTGTGAATTTGACTGCTTTAGATACCCTGTATAAGTAGAATCATACAATATTTGTCTTTTCGTGTGTAGCTCATTCATTTTCACATAACATCATCGAGCTTCATCTGTGTTTACAACGTGTGATTGGATTTCCTTCCTTTTCGAGGCTGAATAAATATTCCATTGTGTGTATATATATATACACACCACATTTTGCTTACTCATTATCTGTCAATGGATATATATGTCGCTTCTACCTCTTTTTTTTTCTTAATTTTTTATTAAGGTATGATTGATGTACATTCTTATGAAGGTTTCACATGAGAAAACAATGTGGTTACTACATTTACCCATATTATCAAGTCCCCACCCATACCCCAATGCAGTCACTGTCCATCAGTGCAGCAAGATGCCACAGATCCACTATATGCCTTCTCTGTGCTACACTGTTCTCCCTGTGATCCCCCACACCATGTGTACTAAACATAAAACCCCTCAATCCCCTTCTCCCTCCCTCCCCACCTGCCCCTTTGGTAACCACTAGTTCATTCTTGGAGTCTCTGAGTCTGCTGCCATTTTGTTCCTTCAGTTTTGCTTCATTGTTATACTCCACAAATGAGGGAAATCATTTGGCATTTGTCTTTCTCTTCCTGTCCTCCAGCTCCATCCATGTTGTTGCAAATGGTAGGATTTGTTTTTTTCTTATGGCTGAGTAATATCCCATTGTGTATATGTACTACATCTTCTTTATCCATTCATCTTCTGATGGACACTTAGGTTGCTTCCATATCTAGGCTATTGTAAAAAGTGCTGCAGTAAACATAGGGGTACATATGTCTTTTTGAATCTGAGAAGTTGTATTCTTTGGTTATATTCCAAGGAGTGGGATTCACGGGTCAAATGGTATTTCTATTTTTAGTTTTTTTTGAGGAATCTCCATATTGCTTTCCACAACAGTTGAACTAGCTTACATTCCCACCAGCAGTGTAGGAGGGTTCCCCTTTCTTCGCTTCCTTGCCAGCATTTGTTGTTCTTAGTCTTTTCAATGCTGGCCATCCTTACTGATGTAAGGTGATACGTCATTGTGGTTTTAATTTGCATTTCCCTAATGATTAGTGATGTGAAGCATCTTTTCATGTGTCTGTTGGCCATCTGAATTTTTTCTTTGGAGAACTGTCTCTTCATTATCTTCTGCCCATTTGTTAATTGGGTAATTTGCTTTTTGGGTGTTGAGGCATCTAAGTTCTTTATATATTTTGAGTGTTAACCCCTTGTCGGATATGTCATTTACAAATATATTCTCCCATACTGTAGGATGCCTTTTTGTTCTGTTGATGATGTCCTTTGCCATACAGAAACTTTTTAGTTTGATGTAGTCCCATGAGTTCATTTTTGCTTTTGTTTCCCTTGTTTGAGGAGATGCGTTCAGGAAGAAGTTGCTCATGCTTATATTCAGGAGATGTTTGCCTCTCTCTTCTACCTGTCATGGATAAATAGTGTTGCCATGAACAGAGGTGTGCAGATATCTCTCTGAGACCCTGCTCTCAGTTCTTCTGGATATATATCCAGAAGTGGGATTGGTAGATCATATAATAGATCTATTTGTAATATTTTGAGGAACCATCATACTGTTTTCCATAGTAGTCGTACCATTTTACAATCTCACCAACAGTGCACAAGGGTTCCATTTTCTCCATATCCTTAGCAACACTTGTTACTTTCTTGATAGTAGCCATAGTTTTTTTTATAGTAGCCATCCTAATGGCTATGATGATAGATCATTGTGATTTTCATTTCCATTTCTCTTATGATTAGTGATGTTGAGCATCTTTTCATATGCTTGTTGTCCGTTTGTATACCATCTTTGGAGAAATATTTGTTCAAGACCTTTGCCCATTTTTTGATCAGATTACTTGATTTTTGTTATGAGTTGTAGGAGTTCTTTATATATTCCAAGTATTAACCCCTAATTAGATACATGATTTGCAAATATTTTCTCCCATTCCATAGGTTGCCTTTTCTACTCTGTTGATTGTGTCCTTTGAGACACAAAGTTTTTAAGTTTGTTTTAGTCCCATTTGTTTATTTTACTTTTGTTGCCTGTGCTTTTGGTGTCATACTCAAGAAATCCTCACCAAATCCAATGTCATGGAGCTTTTCCTCAAAGTTTCCTTCTAGGATTTTATAGTTTTGAGTATTACATTTAGGTCTCTAATCCATTTTGAGTTAATTTTGTAGTACATAGTATCAGATAAGAGTCCAAATTCATTCTTTTGCATGTGGATATCTACTTTTTTTGAAGAGACTGTTCTTTCCCCCATTGAATCATCTTGGCAGCCTTATCAAAGATGATATGACCATGTATGTGAGATTTTACTTCTCTGCTATCTGTTCTGTTCCATTGGTCTATATGTCTGTTTTTATGTAAGTACTATACTGTTTTGATTATTATAGCTTTGTAATATGTTTTGAAATCAGGAAATGTCAGTCTTCTAACTTAGTTCTTTTTCAAAATGTTTTGGTATTCAGATTCCTTGAAGCTCCATAGGAGTTTTAGTATAGACTCTTCTATTTCCCTGAAAATTGCTATTGTGGGATTTTGATAGGAATTGTCTTGAATCTGTAGATTGCTTCATGTAGTATTGACATGTTAACAATATAAATCTTCTAATCCATGAATATGGGATATCTTTCCAGCTGTGCCTTGTTTAATGAGTTTTAGCCGCATTTTGTAGTTTCAGTGTACAAGTCTGTCAACTTGGTTAGGTTTATTCCTATGTATTTTATTCTTTTTGAGGCTGTTGTAAGTGGAATCATTTTCTTAATTTTCTTTCCAGAGTGTTCGGTGTCAGTGTATAAAAGTGCAACTGACTTTTGTATGTTGCTTTTGTGTTCTTTATCTTCCCTGAAATTAGTAGTGACAGTTTTTTTGAGAGATCTTTAGTTTTTCATATATAAGATCATGCCATTTATGAACAGATAATTTTACTTTTTTCAAATTTGGATTTGAAATTTCTTTTTTGTTTCTTATTCTTGCCTATTTCTTGCCTATCTCACTAGGTCTTTCGAAGCTATGTTGAATAGAAGTGGTGAGAGTGGGCATCCTTGTATTGTTCCTGATCTTAGAGGAAAAGCTTTCAGTCTCTCACTATTGGGTATAATGTTAGCTGTGAGCTTTTCATATACAGCCTTCACTATGTTGAGGTAGAGTTTCCTTTGATTGCTAGCTTGTTAAATATTTTTATCAAGATTTTTTTTAAAAAGTGGAAAACAAATTGCTGAACAACATGTCTAATGTAATCACTTTCTGATAAAACAAAAGAATATACACATGTGTATACATAAGGGGAAAACTGGAAGAAAAAATAATAACCTGGTAATATTGGTGTGCCCTTTCTCTTTGCGGGGAGGAAGAAATGGGAAAGTTAAGAGAGGACAGGTATCTTGGCGGATTCTTTACTCATTTCTAGATCCAAAATGCATAGTTTTATAATCTGAAAAAAGATACATAAGATTTCTTAACTGAAAAATTCTAGGTTCTTATATATATTAATATGGCTTTTCTTAAAAATTTTTTTAGGTTTTATTGAATGTGAAATGACAAAATCTAGTCCTTTGAAAATAACATTGTTTTTAGAAGAAGAGAAATCTTTAAAAGTAACAGCAGAACCAAAGGCTGAGCCGCAGACTGGTTGGTTTTATTTCTTATTTCTTATTAACTCTGAGCACACTATAAGGAATAATGTATTGGTAAAAGCATGTATTAAAATATGCAGTGTTCTATATATCAAAATCTCTTGTCATTTTATAATACTCTCTCTCTTTTTTTAAACTGGGAAATATTCTAGCATCCACAAAGATATAGTACGTTAACAGTTATCTTCATGTCACAGACTCCTGTGAAAATCTGATTAAGGCTATTGCTCACTTTCATGGACAAAGTAAATGTGCTGCCCTTCCACAATTTTCATATACTGTTAGAGGAGTTAGTGGTCCTTGAAAATTATTTTTGAACACTGCCCTAAGTAATATTAATAATTTCCTATTATGGACTGACATGTGAAAGGGCAGCTCTCAACAATAGAGTTATTTGAAAGAACATTTTGTGTCAGTCTGAAGCTTTTGGCTATTACCTTGCAGTTTGAGTTCTTACTTAATATTCTTTCTTAAACCCAAAGCACTGAATCAGATTTTGATAGCTCCAACCTAAATTGCTCTCCTGTTTGTTTATTTAGTAAGCATATGAATGTTAGGTCTTCTGCTGTCCCTTTAATTCTTAAAGGTCTTAATCACAGTATCCACCTATTAAAATATTTTTCAGGATTAGTACGTGAAATTGAGATGAGTGTGGATGATGAAGATGATATCAATAGTTCAAAAGTAATTAATGACATCTTCAGTGATGTCCTAGAGGAAGGTGAACTGGGTGTGGGCAAGAGCCAAGAGGAGATGGATCAAGCAGCAGCAGAAAGCAGCAATGAAGAACAGGAGGATGCACTGAATATCTCCTCAATGTCATTACTTGCCCCATTAGCACAGACAGTTGGTGTGGTAAGTCCAGAGGTAAGAAAAGACTAGATGTAAACAGGCCTTGGACATGGACTAAGTACTATTAGAAACCCATTTAGTTTTAGTTTGTACATGGGGATTTGGCAAAGCCAGGGGGATTTTGCAAAGCTGGTGTCAGTTATCTTAAGAAAGAACTTAAACTCTTTCTTCATGGTTTCCCTTTGGCCTTAGATAAAATCCAAACTGTAAAAAGGTTTAAAAGGCCAGACATTTGGGTGCAGATCCTGGCTATGTCTTTTAGTGACAGTTTATTTAACCTCTTTGCCAGTTCTCTTGTCTGGCAAGAGACAAATGAGGTTCTCATATATTCAAATGAGGTTAAAAATAGTACCTATATCATGGGATTGATGTAAATATTAAATCATTAGTGTATTAGTATTTAGCACCAGACAGATAACTAACATTTATTGACAGCTCATTAATGTTGTTGGCTAGCACCCTAAATTGAATAACTACATCTCTGTTTGGAAATTGATTCAATTAGAAATATTTTTTAAAAGAGTTACAAATACAGGTTTTAGCTGCCTTTGAACTTTTATTCATTTATTTTTTAGGAACTTCTTTAGTTTGCCTTGTTTTTTATGGTGAATGACTTAACTTATTGGATGTTTATTTCCTAATAATAGGGGATAATTCATTAAATTCCTCAGAATTATCATTTAAAATGAATGTCACCCATAAAATCTAATACCTGATGTGCTTCACTGCAGGGCTTAGTTTCCTCACCTAGACTGGAATTGAAAGACACCAATGTAAGCAATGAAAGTCCAAAGCCAGGAAAATTCCAGAGAACCCGTGTCCCTCGAGCTGAGTCTGGTGATAGCATTTGTTCTGAAGATCGTGATCTTCCTTATAGGTAAGAACATTTTTTAAGACATTCATGGAGTCTAAGGATTTCATGAGACTAAGGATCATGGTATAGACTGGTATAACAAGTTGTGTTCTGTAATTATAATGTTATTAATAATTCATCTGTATAAAATTTTGGAATTATTTGTGTCAGCATCTTTCACTAAATGGCATTTTCCATTCTGGTGATGTGTTCTGCTGGTACATTTCAATATCAATATCAAATTCTGCTTATATGTTCAATCAAGGATATTGCTCAATGTGTTGATGGATTTTTAATAGAGTGTACCTTATTTCCTGAAGCATTGATGCATATAGATCTCAAAGATTCAAAGAAACAGAGCGTCCTTCAATAAAGCAGGTGATTGTACGGAAGGAGGATGTTACTTCAAAATTGGATGACAAAAAGAATGCCTTTCCTTATCAAGTTAATATCAAACAGAAAATGCAGGTATGTACATCTGTGGAAGGGAGATTTGGAACGTTTCCTGTGCTGCACTGTGAGCTCTTTGCAGACAAGGGCCCCACCTTACACATGTCTGTACCCTGAGTGACTAGAAGAGTGTCTGGCCCATAAGAGCTCAGTAAATCACTTTGCAAAATCAGTGTAATTTGAGAAAGTGCTCTTTATTGGAAAAGTTGGAAGCCTGTTTAATATTGCTGAAATATTTATTTTTAAACATGTTTATCATAAATATCCTTAAAGTATAACTATAAATTAGATGATGGTGAAGCCTGAAGTTTATTCTGCTCAAAGTTTATTCTGCTCTAAGTTCTTTTACCCCTAAGGAAAGCATTTAAAACACATGTAATTTAAATAAAATGGGTAAGTATGAGTTGAAAGTTTTTATAATCAAGAATGTTTATAGTTTAATTATTATAGCATGTTAAATGTTTTTGGCACATAGTCAAGAAACTTCAATAGTGAAACAGTAACATTTTGACTTTCCTCTCTCGAAACTTGGGAAATTATTCAATTGGATTAGTTAGAATTACAGTTTAAGTAAAGTGAAAATGGTGATTTACAAATATGAGTTTTTTCTCCTTTCATTGGTTTTATTAGGAACTCAATAATGAAATAAATTTGCAGCAGACAGTGATCTATCAAGCTAGCCAGGCTCTTAATTGCTGCTTTGATGAAGAGCATGGAAAAGGGTCACTAGAGGAAGCTGAAGCAGAAAGACTTCTTTTAATTGCAAGTATGTGTGATGTACCTGAAATAACTTCAGCAAAATTTCAAACCAGGGAAAACTCATTTTATCTAGTATATTTAGGAATCTCTAAATTTAAAGAAAGTGCTTCTTTTGTTTCAGTTGATCAGCTTTTTTGTTGGTTTCTTACAAGATTTGTGAAACTGAACATGTAAAATAAAAGGTAGTGTCTATGAATAGTGAAAGAAACTGGAATTCATTTGAAGAAATGTAGCTGTGAATAGTATGCCAAGAATGAAAATATGAATATATTTATATATATTCAAATACACACATACATACACACACACACTGTATCTATCCATAGCTATATATGGCTAAAGTATGTGAATTTCGGTGTGTGTGTATGGATGACAGGGCATGTTAGGGTGGATCAATTATACCATACGAGAAAACTGCCCAAAGTTGAAGTATTTAGTCACCAGAACTTGATAAACTTGTGATCAATCAAGGTTTTACCCAATTACCCACCATCTGTTTGTATTTTTTTTTTGGTCTTATTTACAATTGCCATATCAGTGAGAATTGGTCTCATTTATGAATAGTTGCAAATTTAATATTTGTATTATTAACTTGCATATTTTTATGTAGCTGAGAAAAGAATACTTTTGATTGATGAATTGAATAAATTAAAGAATGAAGTGCCTCAGAAGAAGAATAAGGCTGGTCCCGTATCCCAGAGTGAATTTGTCGCATCCAAAGGATCAGTTACTTTGTCAGAAATACGCTTGCCTCTAAAAGCAGATTTTGTCTGCAGTACAGTTCAGAAACCAGGTAAGGTAATTTTTATTTGTATCACTTCTAGATCACATGTTAAACTATGAACCTTACCTAGATTAGCATTGTGCAGTGGGACAAATAGAGCATGAAGATGCAAAACTTGTATTCTTGGGCCTCTAGTTCCTTTTTGAAGATATTTCTCTAAAAATAACCAAAGGAAAATTTCATATATGAGGTTACTTATCCACACAATAACAGACATGGCTGTAACTGAAAGTAAGGCTTGATAATTTTTAACATAAGATATTTCCTAAGATGAGTTATCTGACAGAGCAGATCATTCCACTTTCATTAATCAAGTTTATTGTAGGAAGTTTTGTCACATTTGAAAGAACTTATTTTACTTCATTCTATTTAAAATTCATCCCATGATAGAAATTTGTTATATAAATCTTGAATAACTGGTTGAGGTGGTGAAGACCACCACAGTAGATACTTCTATTGAAATTTTATTCCCTTTGTCACTCTAGATTGAGTAAGTAAACTTTTCTAAACATGTATTCTACTAAAAATCATATGTAATAAAGAGGGTAAGGGAGAATAGGATAACTGGATCTGAAAACAGAGCAGGGCAGTTGAATCAAGCTTAATAAAATAAAAGTTTTGTTAAATATTGGATAAGTTTTTTTAAGGTTCTTTCAAATTTTTAATTGTGTAGAACATTTTCTTTGAGGGAAAAGAGGGCTAGACATAGATGAGAAGTGAATTTGAGGTACAGGGAGAATAAAGAGTGGAGATCTTTAAAAGGCTGAGTATTATTGTAGAACTGAGGTAATTTAGGTTCTAATTCTTGCTCTTGTCTAGGGTGGAGTGGAGTGAGGATAGAAATGATTATTTAGTATGTACCTTATGGTATGTGGTTATTTAATGACAAACAGTTAATGTTTTTTTTAGAATCTGTCTCTGGGTAACTTCCATCGAAATATAGTATTTTAATCTCAGTTTTGATAACAAACCATACTTTACCCTTTTGGGGTGTAGTCTCTTCACTAAAGAATTAGAGGTTGATATGCAAAAGTTGAAATCAGCAAAAATTAAGGCATTTAGAGTGAAGTTATTTCAATTCACTTACTAGAAAGAGAGGATGATGTGTATTTCAGAATTATGACTGTTTCTGTCTTCTTTAGCTTTCTATGTCTGGAAAGTTGGTTTTATTAATTTTTAAATAAATTTTATGTAGTTTAGTTGCAGCATTTCTTTATTCCTTGGTCTTCCAGAATGCTGGTGGCTAAATGTGATTTTGTTTGTGCATATTATATAATGTGATTATTTCTTGCAGATGCAGCAAATTACTTTTTCTTAATTATACTCAAGGCAGGAGGAGCTGAAAATATGGTAGCCACACCATTAGCAAGTACTTCAAATTCTCTTAATGGCGATGCTCTGACATTCACTACTACATTTACTCTGTAAGTAAATTAGGCTTCTGATGGTTCAAATACATTTTTCTTTTAATAGAGTTAGTATAGTTGAAGCATACAGGTGGCATTTATAATCTTTGAAATATAGTGTGTTCATTCTTTTTATATGGACACATAATAATTTGTTGGTTTTAATCTTTTATATTTCTTATCTTTCCATTGAGTAACACATTTGTTCCATGTGACCTATATAATATAGGTATTTATTATTTTTGAGTGTTTATATATAAATGTATGTATATGTATATAAATCTGGAGCATAATTTTGTTATGTGCTTTAATCTTATAATGTGCTTAATATTCAAACTCAAAGAAAAGCCATTTATATGTAGCATCAGATTTATTTTGAAACTAGTCAAAATCCAGTTAGAAAAAAAATTACTTATTGAAGATCTTGAGTTGTAAAATGCTGAAGAAAATATTTGACTTGCATTATAAGAAAAAGGAGACCATTCTCACCAATTTTTATATTCCTTAATGGTTTGCAATTGTTGTCTTTCATTAAAAATACAGTGAATTCCTTTACTCTCAGAGTAACAAAATTTCTGGCATCATTTTTAATGGCTTATGTTGATGTTTTTCTTACAGTTTTACTTACTGTCTTATTTTTCCAGGCAAGATGTGTCCAATGACTTTGAAATAAATATTGAAGTTTACAGTTTGGTAAGCTCTTAAAGCTTTCTAAAATAACTAATAATATATTTTTCTTAAAGATGTCAGATTTTAAACTAATGATGCTTTGGGTTTTATGTAGGTACAAAAGAAAGATCTTTCAGGCCCTGATAAAAAGAAAAAGGCATACAAGTCCAAGGTGAGAATGAACGAAACCTAGTAAAAATACTATAATCAGAAACAGTAGATATCATGTCAGTTTTAATTTATGAAAAATATTTAATGATTATGAACTTTTTGGGTCATTTTTATTAGTAGATTTCTATTTAACAGGTATGAATACTGAAAGTAGACTTACAGTGAGTGATCATGATCTGAAGTATAAGAACCAGATACATTCAAGCTAGATAATTCTGTTTACTCTACATTTACCTGACAACTAACCTTTATAACCTCTGTAAATTTTTTTCAAGCCCTTCCTGTGCGCACTTGCCTGACTGGGTCCTCTAAACCAGTACTTAAGAATGATGTGGTCCCTTGGCAGGCAGAGGGAATAGAGAACATCCAGCTTGGTTTCCAAACTTCCCAGTCTTTTGCACTTCTGTGCTTTTTTTCTAAGTCATCATTCTAAATAATTTTATTTTAGCTCTAAGAAAAAAAAGAATGACAGTATGGGGAAGGCCTTAATAGAGGACTCAAGTATAATGTATTCACATTTAGGAATTATTTACTATGTGGGAGTATATCAGGGTTGGTTAGTTTTAAGCTCTGAATCATAATGTTTAGTAGATAGCACACTTTTCTTTACTTCTAGGCTATTACTCCAAAGCGACTTCTCACATCTATAACCACAGTAAGTAGACTTTTTAAAAAACAATCTCCTTGAGAAATCTTCATCTTACACATGATTGTAAATTAGTCAACCATTTCTAAACTCTTAGTATTGTAGAAATCTTTAAAATACACTAATGAGGGGGTAATCTCTGACAGTTGTGTAGGAAAATTATAATGTTTTCTGAAATATAGTCTTTGCAATGTTAAAGAGTTTTGTATTTAATATTTAAATCTTTGTTTTAAATAAAGGAAATAACTTCTATTTCTTCTTTACACCTTTTTTTTTTTTTAAGAAAAGCAACCTTCATTCTTCAGGTGAGTGGATCTTGAACTATTTGAAACACTAGAATAAGGGAAAGAACAAAACAATTGCACCCATACTTGTGTGTGTGTCTATGTGTGTGTATATATAAAATATATAAAATATATGCCATTTTGATTTATGATTGTTTGCTTTAGTCTCCTTTGAATAATATTTTCTATATGGTTTTTAGTAACATGTAAGATTACTGACCAGAATAGTATGCTATCTGGTTGCACCTTTGTCAGACACCACCACAGGCCATCAGTCTTCCCATTATTCAGGTGCTAGCAGTCAGGACACATGTGATACACAGTCACTTGACAGCTGCAGCAGGTAGCCTTCCTCTTCACTCCACCCTTCTTGTGGTATAGATTTGTCTTGTGCTCTCCACACTGTGGGATTTACTTTTTTACCTTGACTGATCATGACCGGCATTGTATCAGGAAAGCATCTTTCTAGTTGACTGAGAACTGGGTCCCAGTAAGCCAGGAAAGGATTCCCTAGAATGGCTTTAGGCCTAAATTTTCCAAAGGGAATTAGGATGCAGTTGGTTTCACTCACTTCTTTGGGCTTTGGGCTTTTCTTCTTGGCACAAAAGTTACTGAGAACTGCAGAAATAGTCTCTACTGCTAATTATGTCATATTAGACTATAGCAATGGAGTCTTTACATGTATCTTATAGAAAAATTGCTTTTCTATGTACACATTTTTAGGTTCTGTGTCTTTAAAAACACATCTGTCCAAAACATTAAGGAATACTTATACTACCTCACTTAAGTGTAAAATACCTAGCAGTTTTCTTTCATTGGTGAGTAAGTTGATGTTTTATTCCATACTATATAGTTAGAGGTAGAGGAAAGTGAAGTAGTTTTCTCTGTGACAATTAAAATTCATTTTGTTAGGGTGAAGTGAAGAATTGTTATTTATACTTAGAAAACTCACTCTGAACTACACTTCGTTTCCTTTTTACAGTTATGGCCAGTCCAGGCGGTTTAAATGCTGTGCGTACCAGCAACTTTGCCCTTGTTGGATCTTACCTGCTGTCATTATCTTCAGTAGGAAATACTAAATTTGCTCTGGACAAGGTAATCCAAATTTATTTATTTATTTAATTTTAGAAAATTAGGTCAGTGGAATGCCCAGTATTTTCAAGTATGTGAAATCTTTGGCTGGAAATGTATGTTCTTAGAATTGTACAATCTAACCAGGCATGGGTGTACCTACAGGTTATATTTTTTCATTTTGGAAGTATTTCTCCCTTGTCTCTTTATAGTTAAATCTTCAAAGAAGTGTATGCTGACTTATTCTAAATGTCACTTCTGGCTAAAGAAGTATTACTTCTTGCATGTAGATGTTAAGCTTATAGTTTTAAATGTACTGACTTGCCCATTTAAACTGATATTTTGAAATGAGTAATATTTTATAGATTAGTTTTGACAAGATGGGAAAAGATAGGTTAATTTCATAGAAAAGTACTCATGAATCTAAGGGATTTCCTCCCCATGCTTTCCTCCCCAAATTAAAAACTTCAAAATTCAGATCTGCATTATAGCACTATTGCTTACTTCTTCACCATAATGTGATGTAACCTTTAATAGTTAACATTTTAAAGACTGTGAACTAGTGGCAAACCTTAGTCCTAGTTGACTCCTGCTGCATAAGGACAAAGGTACTTTTAAATATTATAAGAGATTTCTTTAGTCAGAATACAGAGATGAAGAGGTAGAAAAATTAGAAGGTCTGGTTTCTAGTATTTGCCCTGCCTGCTGGTAATTTACTTTTCTAGCATTGAGCAAAGTCACTTCATTTCTCTGGAACCTGTTTTCCCAGTAATGATTATTATGTTAGATTAAGGCAATCTAACTTTAGAATTCTATGAAATTTTCTTGTAGTTGATAGACAAAGAGACTGCATTTCAAATTTTGATTACTGTTATGCATTAATGTATTTTAACATTTCAACTTAAATAAATTTATATAACTTTTTATTTAGTAATTCAGCTAGTGTAACAGATTGAGTGATCTTGGGTCTTTTTTCTTTTTGTCTTTTATTTTGTTTGTTTTAGATAAATTATGATGTAAAAGAGCGAGAGCTACTGGGCTATATGTTCCAGGACAAGGTTGCCATATTTTCTTTGCTTGAAACTAATAAGTTTAAAAATTAATCCTTAATTTTTAGCCCATTGGTATTTGTTTCACTAACCATTCTCATATCTTCTTGGTTATTTTGAATAATTAAGGACTTATGTACATTTTTTTCTCTTTAGACTCTCTTATAGATGGGCATCTTTTTCTTTACTTTTATAATGCTTTAAAGCTCTTTGACAGCTCTGTATTTGTTTTCATGCATGTTTGGTATTTGGGCTTTCCTCCTATATTCTTTTTTTCATGTAATAATTCTTTAATATTCTCTAGATTCTTCAACATTGATTTTCTGGGTATTAAAATACCAAATTAATAAATATGTCTACAACTAAAATTTATTTAGTATTGTTTACCTCTTATAATACTGAAAGAGACCTCCTATATACTGAAAGAGTTATTGGTAATGCTTTAAATAAAAGTAGAAAACATTTATGGTCTCAATTGGCTAGCAGGCATATTGCTATGTGATTTGATTAGTAATTTTGAAATTAAAATGCATTTAACACCAAAGTTATACCAAGTATAATCATGTATTTCAGAAAAATTTTTGAAAGAATTTTTACCATCCTTGTGAAGATCAATTGTAAACATTCTGTGGGTGAAAGGAAATGCTAATTTACAAAATGCTGGATAGTATTTTATAATTTTATTTTAAATTCTTGAAACAAGATTTGCAAATAAGAAAAACATAAGAACTGGGGTTCTGGGAACTATTTTCCTTACTCTGTGTTGTAACATGGCCAATTTCTACATATGTAAGAGATTTTGTTAACCTCCAAAATAGAAGATATTTCAATTATATATGTTAAATATAGACTGTTAGCTCTTTTGAACATTGTTTTGGCTGCCTTTTTAATTAAAAATATTAAAAATATCGCACACCAAAAATAAATTCTGATATTTCCATTCTTAATAATTCTCTTGAAATTACAACTTAAGTAACCAACCACATGATTGAGTGCAAAATCAAATCTCTCAATTTAATTGGTTGTGTTTAATACTCTAAAGTCTTTTTCTAAGTCAAATACAGTAAAATTTAGATGTAAAATTTGTCCCAAATGAACTTTTGTGAGTGGTGGGGAAAGAAAGTAGTTGTTCAAATAGCTTGTGGTTGATATATTGGAGAATATTTAAAATAATTTAACATTCTTTAAATTGGTGGGGAAAATGAAAGACACTCTATGCTCAAATAACAATCCTATTTAAATTGACTTTGGGAGAGTAGACAAGTCTCTCATATACCAAATACCATTGTTACAAGGGAGTGTTTGCTTATTTTACTGGTGCCTTAACCAAAGTACAACAGTCATAGGGGTTTTCTCTAAGATCCCATTTAGACTGGAATTTTTATTGGGGTCAGCCCAGGCTATTTGCTCTACAAATTTAGGATATCACTAACAGCAGATTGCCTTATTTGAGATTATAGATGTAAAATCTGACATCCAGGAATTTAAATTTTGAAGCTCTGTGAGTCTCTTTTAACCTTAAAGTCTGTTTTGTCTGATAATAATAGTGTCACAACAGCTTTCTTAAGATTAATGTTTTATATGATTTTTCCATCCTTATTTTCAGCCTATGTTCACATATGTCAAATTTGTATCTCATAAACATATTTTATGGTCATATTTTGTTATCCAGTCTGGCAATCTTTTGTCTTTTCATTGGGGTGTTTAGTTCACTTACCGTTAATACAATATTAATGTGATTGGGTTTAGTCTACCACAAGAGTAGGCTGACTTATAGTGTATAGGCTAAATATGGCTTGTGGCCTGTTTTGTTTGTTTCATTTTTATTAACATCTTACTATGGTACATTTGTCACAATTAATGAACCAATATTGATATATTATTTTTAACCAAAGTCTATTTTTGTGACTAAAGTATTTGAAACACAGCTATGCCCTTTTTTTCTTTATTGTTTATGGCTGTTTTCTTGCTACAATGGCAGAATTGAATAACTGACAGAGATTATATGGTCTGTAAAGTCTAAAATATTAGCTGTCTGAGTCACACTTTGAGAAAAACATTATTTGGGTGGCCTAGAGTAGTTTTCATATTCCTTAGTGTGGAGAAAGGAGACTACTATATTTTTGTATCCATTCATCTGTTGTTGGACATTTAGGTTGTTTCCACCTCTTGGCTGTTGTGAAGAATGCTTCAGTGAACATGGGTGTGCAAATATTCCTTTGAGAACCTTGTTTCAGTTCTTTTGGATAAATGCCCAGAAGTGAGATCATTTGATTATATGATAGCTCTTGTTTTAATTTTTGAGAAACCTCCATACTAAAAAGTTTTTAATTTTGATGAAGTTTAATTTATCTAATTTTTCTTTTGTTCTCATGCTTTTGGTATCATATCTATTGCCAAATCAATGATCATGAAGATTTACCACTCTCTTTACTTTTAAGAGATTTATAGTTTTAGCTCTGATATTTAGGTCACTGATCCACTTTAAGTTAATTTTTGTATCTGATGTGAGGGAGGGATCCAACTTTACTCTTTTGCATGTGGATACCAAGTTTCTTCAGAACCATTTGTTGAAAATACTGCTCTTTCCTCAATGAATGATCTTAGTACCCTTGTTAAAAATCAATTGGCCATAGATGTGTGACTTTATTTCTGAACTTTCAATTCTATTCCTTTGGTCTATATATCTTATGCTGGTACCACATTGTTTTGATTACTGTATCTTTGATTTAAGTTGTGAAATTTGGAGGTATGATTTCTCTGACTTTGTTCTTCTTTTTCAAGATTGTGTTGGTTATTTGGGGCCTCTTATAATTCCATATAAATTTAAGGATCCAGTTTTCCATTTCTATAATTCATTATTTGTTTTTGCTGAGTAAGATTATATTAATTTACCAGTTGATTTATCCAATTTCCTATTGAGTGTATTCTGTTGATGTAGAATAAATAAGCACATGTATTCTCTTCTTAAATCTGTTTTCCTTGTCACATTAACTTGGGATTAGGTTTCTGTTTTTATCAAGCTTTTCCTTGAATGAATTTATTCTTCAAAAGCATTTGTTGCTAAGGAACCAGTGACTTTTTGGCCACCTATTTTACATTCCAGCTTTAGAAAATACTGTGTTTTCATGGCATAGTATTCTTTATTCATGATTTATACATGTTCTATCAAGAGAAATCACACTTTGAAAGTACTTTGCAAATAATTTACCTTTCTTCACAGGTGCCCTTTTTATCTCCTTTGGAAGGTCATATTTATTTAAAAATAAAGTGTCAAGTGAATTCAAGTGTTGAAGAAAGAGGTTTTCTAGTAAGTAACATCACTTAATCTATATTTTCTTTTTCCTATTTCATGAAGTATAGACTTGGTTTACCATAGAAACAAACACCTATATGATTAACTGATAAATAGGTTCAATACAGATTTGTTGGATGACCGCTCTACACCAGTCACCTGGCTGATGTTAGTATATAATAGGCCACAAAAATTTACCCCCTCTTTCAAGAACTTTTAGTTTATAGTAAGGAGAAATATAAGCAAATAGGCAAGGATGATGAAATATTGTAATAGGAGGAAGCTTAGGATGCATGGGTTTAAATTGGTGGGACATCAGGTCTTAAGTATGGGTAAAAAGGCTTAAAGAAAGCTACTAGAAGAAGTAAGTTTAAACTATTAACCTAATAAATTATCCAGGGAGAAAGAGGAGGGAGAAGTGCTCCCTATAAAGGGAGTAGCATGTACAATGGCCTGGAGGGCCTTTCCCTCTCATCACCCACCAAAGGAAAAGATGGCATATTTAGAGTAGCAGGTAATTCAGGGTAGCTAGAGCTTAGAGTTTGACTGTGTGGAGGAGGGACAGTGAGGAGAGTGGCTGGGGAGGAAAGTATGGTTAGCGGAAATGAGGTCAAGTTAAAGGGCCTTTTAAAGAATTAGAACTTTATCTTAAAGTAAAGTAGGATACTTTTGTAGGATTTTAAGCAGTGGAATAATATCAAATTTGTTATTTAGAAAAGTCATTCTGACTTACATGTGAAAGTGGATTGGAGAGTGGCCACCCTGAAGAAAACTAGTGGGGAGACTGAGTTACTCCATGAGAGAGGTGATGGGGCTGGCAGCTGAACTGGAGAGAGAAAGAAGGCAGATGGGCAGGCTTTAGTGATTTGGCTACAGGGCATGGAAAAGCAGAAGTAAGGATGTTACCCAGATCCCTGCCTTGTGCAACTGTTGGGTGGTAGTGATGCTACTGAGTTAAGGAACTTTGAAGGAGGAGCAAGTGTGCATATTTGGGGTGGGAAGTGATTTTCCTCCCCCAAATTTTATTTTGGAAAATTGCAAACATAGAGCAATGTTGATAGAATTTTACAATGAACGGGTACCCATATGCCCACCGTCTAAATTTTGCCTTTAACATTTTTTACTATCCTTGATTTATCATATGTCTACTACCTAGCCATCCTCTAGCTATCCTCTAGCTATCCCTCTAGACATTGCTGAAAAGATTATATTTGGGGGGAAGAATTTCAAAGTATGTTGCAGATGTTAGCATATTCCCCTAAATCCTAAGTATATATCCCAGAGTTTAGACACATGCATACATCTGTGTAATCCAAATTTCTATTAAGATGCAGAACATTATTCCAGAAATTTCACTCATGCCCTTTGCCAGTCAGTCCCCACCCAAGGTGGGACATTTTAATGGGTTAAGTTTTAAATTAGAATTTTAGATGCCTAGAGACATATTTCAAAGATCTGAGTTTGTAATTCAGAATAGACTATTTTAGTTGGTATGAAGATTTGGAATTCTGTAGCATGTAGGCAGTGAATGAAGTACAGGAGAAGTTGAGTAAGCAGAAACAGGAAGAACACTAACATTTAAACCCAGAGACCTAGGGAGAGAAGCTCTCAAAGGAGACCACAGGGAGGGCAATGGAAAATTTAATGTGGTCCTTGCCAGTGGAGAGACTGAAAGAGGGAGTGGTCAAGTTAAATAAGGATCTGTTAGAAACTTGAGGCTCCTTTATAAGGTAGTTGTTCTAGTAGTCTTGGTGAGAGCAGAAGATAGACTGCAAATGGTTGTAGAGGGCATGGGAGGTGAAGAATGAGAGTGTGAGCAACTCTTTGAAATGAAGTTTGGCTACAAAGGGGTAAAGAGAGTGTGGTACTTGCAGAGCTATGTAAGATAAAAGAAGGATTTTATTGACATTTTGTTAACATCAGTGAGATATGTCTTTAAATTCATAAGTAGCTTTTAATGGGGCCAAAGAGATTGAAAATAAAAGCAAGGGGGAACCTGTACTAGGGTTAAACAGTAATACATGGAACAAGGTCATAAGAGTGAGAAGAAATGAGACCCAAGCCACAGTTCACGGGATTGATCTAACCCAGAATTATACCTTTTCCATCATCAAAGAGAAGTATGTGTGTGGAATCTATAGAAGATTGTGGGTGTGGTACAAGAAGTCAAAAAAATCCAATAGCTTTGGTTTTCTTTGTGAAGCAAGATTTTGAATGTTACAAAGGATATCAAAAATCAATTTGCAGTTGCTGTCAAAGGGTACAGAAAGAAGAGCTAGATTGTACAGAAAGCCCTCATGGCCAAGATGACTGTCAGATTGCTTTAGTTTTTTCACATGTAGGTCCAGCAGGTGGCACTAGATATTCTTGGAAAAGCATTTTTATAAATTTCTGACTTCTGAAGGCAGTGTTTACCTGCTGACCTTTTCTTTTAATGTAGTTGCTTTCATATTTTATTGTAAATACTTTTAGCTCCTGATAGACTCTGTTATGGATGCTAGTTCATTTGCATATAATGTCTGACTTAATTTTTGAGCTAGGCTCTTAACTAGTTTAGAGTTAGGTCTCTTCAGATTTACTGTCTTGGATCCTATAGCCCATTCCTGTCACTTCGATACACAACTGTGGTAAAATTGCTCAGGACTCCCCAAATAACTCTGTCCCCTGCCCAAACAATGCCTTTTAATTATAAAACATAGAGGGAGGGAGTGGAATTCAAGATGCTTGGTTCAGTTTCCTTCCTGGTGGGCCAGGGCAGCTGGAAGGAAGGAGACTACCAAGCAGAGAAATCTGCTGTGAGTCTGACGTGATGCTGGTCTGATGACAGTGCTCTGCCTAGACTGATGAGCAGCAAGAGAAGGGTGTTCTGGAATAACTAGCAAGCCAGTTCCAGTTCTGCTTTGTGTTGTCATTTAATTCTCTTGGCCCTCAGTTTCCTGTTATAAAAATGAAAATGCTGTCCTCTTGCTATTCCTCCCTGATAATATAGTAAAGTGTAATAATAACTTGTGTTAGTCTTACCCATGAAATTTTTCCTTGTCTATTACCTTTATGATGTAAAAGGTAACGATTCCTATCTTTTTTCCTGGGGTGGCTGTGAGGCAGTATAGTAGAGAAAAACATGCCTTGGGGAAGAAAGAAGATAAACTGGGGAGGAGAAAAAAAGGGGAGGTAAGAGGATATGTGGTTGGAGTAAGCCAATTAATTTGAGCTAATTAATTAAGCTGATAAATTTGAGGTTTCATTCTATTATAGAAACATTTTTTCATAAAAGTAACTGCCCAGAGATTGCACTCCTAACAAGCCACCTTTTGGTAAATTTGCACAAGTTAGTGAATCAAGATGAGTGTATATCCTGCTACAAATAAGTTTGGTGTAAGGTATAGTTGAACCATTTGAAGGTAGAAATGCCTTCCTGCATTTGGAAATCAAACACAAAAATGCCTTTGGATTATCTATATTAAGGCCAACCAAGTATGGGCTACTGCTTGTTTTTATAAAGTTTCACTGGAACATGGGGTCATTTGTTTATATAATAATGTTTGTGGCTGCTTTTGCACCATGATAGCGGAACTGAATTGTCGTGACAAGGCCCCACAAAGTCTAAAATCTTTACTCTGTGGCCCTTTACAGAGAAACTTTGTCAACCTGTGTGATCTATATAGCATTGTTACATTTTTACCTTGCTTTGTTCTTTAACAGTTTCTAAATGAATTCTTTTTTTAATTAAAAGTAGGGACTTTTATATAAGTTAGGTGTCCTTTATGACTACAGCTGAAAAATGGGAGAAAAAGCTGCTTCTACTTAAGACTGAGTAGAAGAACTTCCATGGTAAAAAACCAAATTACCTATGCCAGAGTCCAGTCCTTAACCATCACAACTGCTTCACCTCCCTTTAGAATGTAAATTGCACCCTAAGGCATGAGGGGGCTACTGCCTGATCTGGGGGAGATGCTGCTTCCAAATGTGCTTAATGGCCAGCAGGAGACCCCACATCCTGATGTTTATCTCAGTAACTCTTCAAGGCATTTAATCTTGAGTTTATTCTCTTCTAATTTTGTTTGTTCTCTTGGATAAAAATTAAATACCAGTTTTCTGTATTATGATAAGTCTAACTTAATAAGCTATCATTAGTTTTTTCAATATATAATGTATATAGATACCTGATACCATTCTGCTCTTCAAAACTTGAAGCACTTTTCTCTTATTTAAGGAGCATTTGATGAGGGACACCAGCCTTTAAAAAAGTCTAAAATTAGATAGTGGTGTTTGTTTGGGTTTAATATTTAGAAGTTCCTAAATGTCATTTGCTTATAGATGATGTTTAAAACCTGGGTAAATTTCTGGATGTGAGTGATCATTGATTTTTATTCCTAAGGTAAAAGACATGATGGAAATCATGCAAGTAGGTTTTGAAATATGAAGTATATCAACTTATTGTAGTTTAACATATAGAATTAACATTTAATTGATCCTCAAGTTTTAAAGTCAGTATTTCATTGAATTTTCCAGACCATATTTGAAGATGTTAGTGGTTTTGGTGCTTGGCATCGGAGATGGTGTGTTCTTTCTGGAAACTGTATCTCTTACTGGACTTATCCTGATGATGAGAAACGAAAGGTAATATATTAATAGTACTGGTCAGTGGTGAAGGCCCTGACTTTCCTGTAATGTTTCATTCAAGTGTTCCCTCCGGGCATCCCCCAATCCACTATTTTCCACAAAAACTGGAAAATAGAACTAAGCAGAATTACAAGGCAAAATCATCCATAGTAGAGACAACTACTGTCCATATTTTGATTGTATATCCTTCTAAACTTTTTAAATGTATAATATATAATGATTATGTATCCATTTATGAATCTTTTTAAAACAGAAAGTATCATGCTTTTTATAACCTGATTTTTATTTCATCATTTATCATGACACCTTTCCACATCAATAAAGATATATTTATAATGTTACCTTTAATGGCTATACATATTACATTGTAGCCATGTAAAATTTTATTTAAAAATTTATTGTGAAATATTTAGGGCATTCAAAAAGACATAAAAACAAGTAATTTCCATCAACTTCTGTTATTAGACCAGTTGAAGCTCCACATGTAATTTTCTCTCCCCTGTTGAGAGAACCCCATCCTGAAATTGTTTTGTTCCTATGTATTTCTTTAAATTTTTTATTATATGTGTATATATTCCAAAGCAATATGTTATTACAACTGCATATTTTAAACATTATGCAAATAATACCATACTGTATATGTTATTCTGCAACTTGCATTTTTTCAGTCAACATGGTGTGTGAAATTAATCTAGGTTGATATGTATAGCTCTAGCTTATAGAACTCTAACCCTTTCTCTGTACAAAAGTGTTACATTGTAAGAACATGTTACAATCAATTTATCCATTCTCCTATTGATGGTCACTTAGATAATTTCCAAATTGTTGCTATTACAAATAGCGCTGCAACAATTTAGCTTCTTATATTCACTGATAAGAGCCCTTTCCTGAGTTTGCACCTAGTAGCAGAGTTACTAGATTATAGGGCTTAAACACATCTTCCACTTGTATCAACTAGATTTGTCAAGCTGTTCAATGTTCCATTTTGACCAGAATATATTAGAGTTGTTAATGTTCCACATCCTCACAAATACTTGATATGTCAGCCTTTTAAACTTTTGTCAGCATGATAGGTATGAAATGTTATCCCACTGCTCTTATTTTGTATTTCCTTGATTAAGCTATAAGAGTAAGCATCTTTTCTTGTGTGTTTGGCCATTTATTTTTTGTCCCCTAGTAACTGCTTGTCTGAATATTTTACCCATTTCCTATCTTTTTTGGTACATTGCAATTATATTTCCTTAGTCCTTTGCTTGGCATGTATTTTAATTTATCTTTATAGTATCTTTTCATAAAGAGAAACTTTTAATGCTAAGATAATCAAATCTGTCAATTCATTGCTTTATTGTTTGCTTTTTTGAGTAATTAAGAATACCATCCTTACTCCATAGTCATAAAGATATTCTCCTATAGCTCCTTATAAAAGTTTTGTATTTTACATTTAATTTATCTGGAATTGATTTCCCCCCCCCATCTGGAAACCCAGTTGTACAGGATTATTGAACAGATCATCATCTTTTCCCCAATGATCAACATGCCAGAAATGGCATGTTGCAAGATACCACTATATATGTAAGTCTATAGTTAAGGCTTTCTATTGCATTTCCTGTGGTCTGTATTTCTCAGGCTCAGTTACCATAGTTTAAAAATAAATCTTCATGTCTGATAAGGTAAGTCTTGAACTTGATTTTACTAACAATGTATTACTTATTCTGGGCCCTTGCTTTTTATACACCCAGACTCACAGATGAACATATGTGCCCATATATTTAACTTTTTAAAATTGAAAATGTTCAAACATACACGAAACAGAAATAATATAATGAACTCTTAAGTTCAATGATTATCCATTTTCATGTTTCACTTATCTCCACGCACACATACTTTTTTGTTCTGATTGTTTTGCTGGGGTATTTTTAAGCAAATACCTGATCTCATATTATATGACTTCACCTGTGCGAGCCAAGGCTTATGGTTCTTAGTGTTGCCTCTTTCTCCTTGATTTTGGCCTTTTAAGATTTCTTTCACTTCCTTGTGAGTTCAGTTATCTAGCCTCTGGAGAGTTATGTAATGAAAGGATTTCTCAGTTTGCCAAACCTGCTGGAGACATACTATTTCTTTAATAATAAATATTATTATTAATAAATATTAAATAAATAATGTTACTTGTTTTTTTGTTTCACTTGTTTCAATTTCAAGCTTTAACATTTTTTCAAATTTTTCACTATTATGCAAAAACAGTGACTACATCTATATAAGCATCTTTGTGCACTTATTGTTTGCCTAGGATAAATTTCTTTTAGGTAGAAATGTAGGATCAGAATCTTGAATGTTATTGATTACTCTCAACAATTTGCCTACCAGTGATGGACCATTTTATACTTTCACCAGAAGTATGTAAGTTTCTATTATTCATGCCCCAAACAATCAATAGAGATTATTACTATTATTTACAGACTTAGCCAATCTAATACTCTTAAATGGTATATTTAATTTCTTTTCTAAGTAACTAATAGAGTTGACATAAAGGCTGTTTCTAAATTGTGCCCATACATTCCCCTTTTTCCCATTTTTCAGGGCCATTTAGTCTCATGAATTTTTATTTTTGACTCCCATACCATAGGAATGGCATGGTTCCAACAATCCAAAGCAATTGTTTGGTCTTATCTTTTAGAAATACATAAAAAATCAGATGAAATAAAATGCATGGGTTTCTGTTTATAGAAAGGGAGGAAATGAGTGGACTATAGACAAAAGTTGGTTGAATGTGTGTTTCTAATGTGACTTTGAAGCTGGTTGATGAGTACATAGAGGTTCATTATACTGTTCCTTTTATTTTGTATCTGAAATAACAAAGAGTTTATTTTTTAAGTTGGCTAGGAACTCCAGTTGATATTCCTGGTTTCTGTATGTACAGCAAGAAACAATAATATTAAATGTTTCTCTAAACCCATGTAATTAAAGTTGAACTTTCAAATTAATGGTTTTTAAATTTTGTAACAATTTCTTAAATACTGCTGAAATGGTCTTATTTATTTTCTACCAATAATTTTTTAAAATTTGCTTTTAAAGAATCCCATAGGAAGGATAAATCTGGCCAATTGTACCAGTCATCAGATAGAACCAGCCAACAGAGAGTTTTGTGCAAGACGCAACACTTTTGAATTAATTACTGTCCGACCACAGAGAGAAGATGACCGAGAGACTCTTGTCAGTCAATGCAGGGACACACTTTGTGTCACCAAGTATGTATTGGGCTATAAATATTTCTGCCAGCTAAGTAATTGATTTTCCACTATGTTCTTCTCACTCTAAGAAATATCAGAGATATTTCTTGCCTTTGTAGTGGGTACAGTCTTAATGAGAAAATAAAACACATACACATCAGTAAAAGAATAATCTAATAACTAAATACAGTTAAGAAAAGTATAACATTCAATATATATCATGTTTTCCAATATACAGTATAGCTGTTTTCAAGGCAGTCAGTTAATATACTTTGAGTTTAATTTGAAGACTTCATATGTATTTAACAAGTAAGGTGTTATTTAAAGAGACTTTACATATCCCTTCCTTTGCAGTCTAATAATTCTGGTTGGAGACTAACAGAAGAAACTACTGGGAGTATCACTTTTTTTTTTTAAGCCCTAAGTTTATGTATGAGATGCAAAAGTTTATTGCTAAGAGACTAAGAGCGATTCTTTTGCTTGAATGACCCAGAGAGGCTTCAAGACCAACTAAAGCATAAAAAGTTGGAATTAGAGCAAAAGTTCGAATTTGACAAAAATCTCTATTAATCAAGCTGTTGCTGAATATTGCATACAGGAAGATGGGTAGAACTGGCACCATGAGTTTCTGATGTGAAACTCATGAAAACTACAGCCAAGAGACACCATATTAAAATAGAACAGAGTTGCCCAGATACTGCCAATTTGTTTTAAAATAGATAGGAGATCCATTCATTGGAAATTCTTGGTATCTAAATTACTTCCAGATTAATTCAGTTGAACTCACTCACTCCAAGGGCCTTCCTGCATAGTCATGGCGTCAGAAAGGACAGCAGAGGCAGAATGTATTTATAGTAATTCTGTTTGATAGTTACCTTGTCTATGGCGACAGTTGGGGGCATCAACCAAAATTCAGTACCCAAGTAGTTTCTGACTGCAACAGAACATTTTAACCCTTTTAAACATTACTCATATTTTTCATATAATCTTGTGTCTTACCTGCTACATAGACCCTTCTAGACTTCTCCTTTTATCTTCTCCTGTAGTAGAGATCACTAAATCACACATTGCTATAATTTCTCTGTACTTTACTTGCACGTAGTTTTCTCATAACATTCTCATCATTTGAGTGGGCGCTTCTTTATCCAAGAGTGTTGCTTCCTTAATTCAGTCTTGGCAGAGTCTGTAACTTTGCTTAGTAACTCTTAAAATTTATTTTACTTTTTATATCATATAATTTCCAGAATATAAACATTTTGCTGTTCTGCATTCACCTTTGCCTTATTTGTTTCTCTGTTGGGTCTTTTTGACCTATATCTTGTATCTAAATTTACTATATCTCATTTTGTTTCTAGCAATCAACTTGCTGTCTTTTTCCTCCTTCAATGCAAAAGATTTCTCTTCTAATCATTATTGTCCACTTTGAAATGTAGTATGCACATTGGAAGCAGAACTGCTTTATCACACAGGGAGACAGTAGTATACATTGGAGCTTTAAAGTCAGCAGAACTAGGTTCAAACCCTGACTCAGTGACTTAGCAAATGTAACCTTGGCAAGTTACTAATTTTGCTGGCCTTCTAAATTCTGTGTCAAAAGGGAAAAATAAACCCCACAGAATGACAGTAGAAATTAGACATGCTTATTTAGCACAGTGCCAAACACCTTGTCCATGCCAGACCACTTTACCATCTTTGGTGTAGAACTCCATCACTTACCTGCTATAGTCAGTGTGAGTTATGATTCTGCTAACCAGCCTACAGGGATAATTTTCCTTTATTGTAATTGAAGAAGCAGCTCACCTTGGGGTTTCTGCTTAGTATCCATTAAAAATGGTGAAGAGTAACTCATTTTCCTGGTTTGTTTAAGCTTTTTTCTTGTTTGCTTTTTGTTTTGCCTAGCAGAATATAGGGAGGTATGGAATAGGGAAAAGGATCCTGACCTTTTGTTTGTTTGTTCCGATAGGAACTGGCTTTCTGCAGATACCAAGGAAGAGCGGGATCTCTGGATGCAAAAACTCAATCAAGTTCTTGTTGATGTTCGCCTCTGGCAACCTGATGCTTGCTACAAACCTATAGGAAAGCCTTAAACTTTAGGAAGCTTCTGTGCCATGTAGAGGTTTTTTGAGCTATGTCATCAGACTTGCTGATTGCATTTTATGCTTTAAATACAAAAGGGTATGTGCCAATATTCACTATATATTATGCAGTGTTTATATCTTTTGTATGTAAAACTTCAACTGACTTCTCTTCTGTTAATTCATAAATGATTGGGAGAAATTTTATTATAGTTGATTCTGCTAAAGCTTAATTTAAAGCCTCATTTTCCTAGAAACCCAATTATTCAGTTTTTCATAAAGAAGTATTTTTTTTTAAGTGGGAAATACTGAGTTTTCTTAGAGCTGTGAGTCTTGAAGTAGAAAGGTCTTATAGGGGTTAGAGACAGAAAGCTTCGACTTGGGCATCCTTTCTCTAACCTCTGTACTTTTTTCCTAAAGGTTGTGATCATTTATTGATCATCATATATCTTGTTAATAGAGTACTGAAAAAATTTCTAAGGGACTTTACACAAACATTTTTAGTAATGGAGATAAGAACTTTTTTAAGTAGCAAATATACATTAGTTTAAAGCTTGAGGCTGCCTTCAAACAAAAGATGTGGACATAGAGGATATTATGTGAGATTTGGGGGTTAAGTGTTTTATTTAGGAGAGTTAATAATCATGTGGTTTACATTTATTCAGTTATTATAGATGCTGTGTGGTACACATTTCATAGAACACAGACTTTTAAAAATAATTATTTTTGCTCTATAGCTTAACAGACTCCACTTGGCATATTAGTTTTATCTGCTCCTGTAACAAGAACAAATATAAACTGAAAAATCTTTATAATAAAAAAAAGTAAACTTTACCAAGCTGCTATGGAATAACACTTTGCTTGCCAAAGTTCACCTTTTTTTTTTCATGTCCATGGAAGCCCATTTGAAAACTGTTAAGTCACATTTGACCTTTAAAGCTTAATACTTTATTTTTTATTATAAAATATTATAAAGCATGCTTTCAACTTTCAAATACACTTTGAATTTCTTCTCTGAATTGTTTGTTATTGATGACCTCATTTATAAACACTAAATTCTGTCACCTTCTGTCATTTTATCTTTTATTCAAATATTTTTTCTTCTGTGTATTATAAAAATATATTTTATGCTCTCTTACCCAAATAAATATTTGCAAAAGACTGAAGGACTCAGTTATTTAAGAAATACTATTTAAATGTGCAGTGTGGCTGTTCTGCATCCCTAGGTTGTGGGGTTTTCTGATGGTGATCTTTTCATCTCTAGCCCACTGCTCAGCTTTTTATGTGTTCTTAGGATCATTGTTGAATGTGTAGGTAGATGAAAGATCCATTTCTGAGGCTTTCAACAATGTGGTACTTGTATATGCATTTGAGGAGATGGAGGATGCTTAGCTGAGACTGAGTGTATAAGTGACATCACTAGCTAAATAAAGTAGGGCCTAGGTTTGATGGGACTGATGAGAGGGTTCTTTTATTTATTTATGGACTCATATTTATTTAAGAATAGGCATTACATATCTTGGTACAAAACTCAAAAGGCACAAAGAACGTGCAAATTGTGTCTTTTTCCCTTGTTACAACCACCTTTACCAGTTTTGGTGTGTCCTAGAGAGAGTCTATGCATATAGACGTATTTCTATTCTTTTGTTTATAAGAAATATCCCATGCATGCTGTTTGTTGTAAGTTAAAGAAAAAAGCACAACAGATTCCCTTAGTGACCATTCCTTAGTATATATTTAGATGGTACATAAAAGTTCATTTTTAGAAGAAATTTAATTTAAGGTGATTGTGGAACATTAATTTAGCAATCCCTCATAAACAGGGAAAATACGACTATGAAGATTTAGGTGTCATCTGCCTTGAGGGAGGATTGTTAAAACCATTAGAGTGGATAAGATCATCCAGGGAGTATGATGTGGAAAGCAGTGAGAACAAAAGCAATGTATTCTTTACGAGAAAAGTGAAAAAGGAGTGGCTAATGATTGTCTTCCATGGAAGAAGTACAAGAGTCATGTCTGATGAGACAAAGAAGAATCTTAGGATTCTGATCACAGAATCATAAGGCAGTTAAAGAAAATGTGAACCAAAATTTGGAGCAGTCAATTCAATTAAATGGTTCAGTTGAAAAATCAGGTTATAACAAAACACATAGAGGAAAAGAATGACAGGTTTGATACCATAAAAATTTTCCTGCCTGATAAATGTCTATAAATAATGTTAAAACACAAGCAATAGACAAGGAAAAAGTATTCACAACGTATTTAATAAAGAGTTAATGTGCAAAATATATAAAGAGCTCCTATGACTGGCTGTCATTGAGCATTTACTATGTAGGCAATGTTCTTGGTGTTTTGCATGGATTATCTCATAATCTACACATGACCTTACTAAATAGGCATTGAATGAGAAAACTAAAACTTGGGAAACTTCTGAGGCTACATGCATAGCAAGTACCAGGCAAGGATTCAAGCTCAGGCACTCCAGAATCCACGTATTTCACCATTACACTATGCTGTTTCTCCATAAGAAAAAGAAAATTTAACCTAAATAAGAGGGGCAAATAGTATTAGTAGAAATTACATCCACACACACACACAAATCCAAAGTACCAACAAACATAAAAATAATGTCAATAAATAAACAGAAAAATACAAATTTAAATGGCAGGTGGGTTGTTGGCCCTCAGATTGGTGAAACTATAGTCAATATTGGTGAGAAACTCATACTCTTGGTGAGAATTGAAACTGATACAGTTAGGATGGTATCTTGGCAAACTCCAATAATCTCTGTGCTAACACACAGCATCAGACTCACACCTATCAGAGATCTTATCCGAGTAAAGCTTCACTCATAATTTCAAGAACACAAGCAATCAAGTCCCTGGTGAAGCAGGGAGAAGTCTGCAACATCCTGTATGCCCGCCAGTTCTTTTGTTACCCATTGTGTACGTTCCTTGGCTCAGAGTAGTAGGTAAGATGTCATGTGAGGTTTTTGGGCCATGTGAGGTTCTTTAGGTGAGAAACATTGCCATTTTATACTCTGGTAATTATACAGCTTCTGTGACTTTTCTGCCAGGAGTCTTGCCTCACAAATCCATAAATTCTAAGTTTATTTACCATGAGCAATCTTTAACCAGCCATGTCCTTCTAAGAGCATTCCACAGATAAGTGAGTTCCCAGCAACTAACATTATTAACCAGGTCCAGTTTTCAGCACATTTATAAGGAATTCAGATGTGTCGCCTGCCTTCTTTCCCCAGAACCAAATGCCAGCTGCTTTACCTCCTTCCTTGCCACTCTCTTCAAATGAATGTGCAGGTGAGCAAAGATATGCTTTTGATCATTACGATACTGTTTTTAAAGGGAAAAAATAGAAATAACCTGGAAGTCCATCCACAGGGAAGAACATTCTAAATAATCTGCACAAATTAATAGGAAATTATGGTGCACTCTTTTTACAAAACACCATGCAGTGTTCAAGAAAGAAAGCAAACCATATATATATGTATTTGGAAAAATTTTCCAGAACAGCTTGTGTGTAAAGGGATATGCCATGAATATGAAACTATGTATGTAACATATGTGCATGTAAATACCTAGATAAAAGGGTAGAAGGAGCCACACCAAATTTTGTTAAGGGATAGGGCCATGGAAAGAGATTGGGAGCAGTTTTAGATGGAAGAATGCTTTGACTTTTAACTCTACTTTTAGACTATTTGGTATGTTTACAATGAGGATATTTTCATGTTGCTCATGTACATGGACTTATGAACACCTTAAAAATTAAAATCAGAATGAAATACTGAGTGGAAGAGTGGTGAGAGACTTCAGGATATTGAACCGAGAGAGGAAAGGCACAATTGGGCCAATAGTTTGGTGGAGAAATTTGAAGGAAGGACATTTTTGAAGGAGGGCATGAGTATATTATTGCAGTGATGAGAAAGAGCCAAAGGTAAGGGAGAACCGGAGGAGAGTGGTGCAAAGGAGGCTAAACAGTTGGGGCAGGCTGACTTGTGGAGCAGGCTGAAGGGCGGGTGATAGGACCCCACCCCAGCAGGCTGCATCCGTCAGCGGAGCTTTGTGAGTACTGAAGAAGGAGGGCACTCAGCCTGTGCAATCGCGCAGGACGTGGCAGCTATGGAGCCCTGCTCCTCGTTCATATGCTGGCCAATTGGAACCATGTGGAGGCTGGGGCAACTGCAATGTGGAACAACTGCACAGCTGTTTCAAGTATGAAGTCAGCACAGCCCATCATAGCAGACAAGGCAACCCTGCCCTGGTCTCTAACTGGGAAGAGTACATACCTTAAAAAGTCTAAACCCTAAGACAATATATATCCCCTGCTCTTATTTTCAAGTTGATATCTAAAATTTTTCATTAGAACTTAAAAAAGTGGCAAAGGATGTAATTTCCATCATATTGGACATATTAACACCTCAGATTAAATTTTCACTTTATTTTAAAAATCAATAAATCTAACTGCAAGTGCAATTTGATCCCCTCCCCCATTATTTAAATATTCATGAATAAGGTATTTATGGAGATTTTATAGCATTCTTTTTATTTCAGTTCTCATAATTTTATGTTAATGTAACTCATATTTTAATGCTTGAGCAAAGTATATGTAAAATGGGATGGAATTTTTAAAATGTTCTGTGACTAAGATTTTAAATGTTAAAAATTACTTTGAACTAAATATGACATTAGTTCACAAAAGATCAAAACTATATTATACATCTGAAAACTTAAATGTAAAAAGTAAAACTTTATAGGAAATGGATTTCTTAATGAGATGGATTAGCTTTTTATCAATTGGTTTATCTATGGACACATATTTATTTTTAGAATGAGGCATGGTTCAACATCAATTCTATTTCTTTTTTTCATTTTATAGATAACCTAACTAGATGAAAATGGAAGGAGCTTTGTTATAGCAACGTCACTCAACTCTCTGAACTTCCAAATGATCTACCAAAGATTACTTTTAATGGTAAATTCAATTCCTTTTAGCTGATGGAGTAGGCAGGATATATATACTGTGCTACTATAAAAAAATGAGTAACAAAAATACAGGGAATCGAATAAGATAGAAGTTTCTCTTTCATATGACAATCTAGAAAGAGGGGACCAGTCCTGGGCAGAGAAGTGGTTCTGAACATGGAGGATTCCCACGGACCAAGATCCTTCTACCTGGTGTGACCTAGTGTGTGGCCCTCATCCTTATAGTCATAACTAGCTCCCCTGCACCCAGCTTTCAGGAAGGGAAAAAGAGGGGAGCCCATCACTGGTCGTTTAAGACCAAGCACAGAATTTGCACACATTATTTCTCCCATCACTTCTCCCATCCCATCAGCAAGAGCTCAATCACACACCCAAGGCTTATTGCTGGGAAAGGCAGTCTGTAGTTGAATGACCCACAAACCCTGCTGAAACACACAAGGTTTCTATTATAAAAAGGTGGGAACGAAAAAAGAGATATTCAGAGACCACTAGCAGGCTCTGCCATTGCTTCTAACTCCTTCACTTTGGCTGAAAGCAAAGATATGAAAGTCACCTGACTTGGAAAAGGATTGGTTATTCTGCCTCGAGAGTCCAGGAAAACTGCTCTTTGAATTGTCCCTTTCCTTTTAGTATTGGGAGGTTTTTATAGCCCAGGAAAATAACCGTAGAAAGATCGGCACAAAGTATGCCTTTCCTTTATAAAGGGGTGAAGGGCAATTGTGAAAGGGGGGTAAGTGTGAAAAAGAACATCTTAGAGGCAGTTGCTTCCTTTAAAGGGAGGAGTG